AATAAGCATATTCCTTAGGAGATAAGGATTACAACAATAAAGGGGATGATTATCCTAATCCTATAATGATTAGGATAACTACAACATATGGATAAACACAAGGGAGGATAGTGACTGATGCTTGGCCGCCTGGTATGGTACTGATGTGGTCTGGTCCATTTCCGGATATGTCCCAACCACCATCTTCATTTCTTAACAGAAATAATAGTTTTTCTGTTCTGATTTGATTTTTTTTTTCTTATGCTTATTGAAGTTATCAAATATCTATTTTTGGAGAAAATACCAAATTATCATATATTATTCAAAAATCCCAGTCATGGTATGGAAACCTAAAACTCAAAAGGTATAACAATTAATAACGTGATGAGGAACAGGGTTATCATGCTAGCTTGTTGCTAGAAATTAATAATGAAATTGTACCAAACAGGGTTATAGAAATGTGATGAAGAATTGCAGAGAGAATATGATCGTGTTAAGGGAAGAACTTGAGAAGACTGGAAGGTTCAACATCGTATCAAAGGATGAGGGAGTGCCACTTATTGCTCTCCTTGAAGGATCCTGTAAGTAGATCCAACGACGGTTTGATACGATGTTCAGGGAATTGACAGAGAAATCAGGAATACAATTACAGCAAGAAGACACAGGAAGCTTTTCAACTACAGCAATTATCAAATCTTTTTCAAAATTATCAGATTTTTTTTTTGAGCAAACAAAATTATCAGACCTGTTGTAAAATTAACCAACAATTGTATGGATCATATGGACGAAACCATATATTTATCCAAAAAGTTCATATATATTCTTCGCCCAAAAAAAGGCTTAGACAAGTGGCCTGACCTGTACGTAGGCCGAGCACAAGAAAAAAAAAACACATTCGTAGAATAAGTTAAAACATAAACATAAGGTGGCGAGCACAGAGACCATCAAAAAATCCAAAACTGAAGAGAAACTAGAAGCTGCATAGATCCATAAAACATTTATTAACTAATAACAAGCTGTCGTAGTTTAGTGAGTTTGCGTCTGAGCATAATGTCCCAACTCTTTAGCCTTCTCCGAGATCATCATTCTCGCGTAATCCACTTTATCAGCTCCCATGGGATGTTTTCCGGTGGCGTACCTATAGATCCACGATAAAGCCGTCGCTGCCGCCACCCCACATCCACCGGAAAACAAGAACCCCGCCGTCAAAAGGCATAGCGTTATCACCGCAGGCACAAGCACAGGACTAAACAGAACCATCAAGGGCGTCGCAACGATTAGACCGATCACGGTCCCGGTGAGCGTTAATCCCGAGAGCACAAGCAGTGACATGCCGATCGTTGCTGCCGTTAGGAATCTCACCGTTTGTCTTGTTGATGGTGATGGTGATGATTCGTGGTGATTTCTTGCCATTGGTGGTTGCTGATGTTGATGAAGATCCGCCATTTTCTCTCTTTTTTTTCTGTTTTGTTTGTTATTACTATTTTGTGATTTGTGAATGATGAGAACTGAAGAAATATATATAATGGAGAGGTAAAAGGAGACGCTTGGCGAACGATGATGCGGGATATGTGGGCGTGTGAAGTGGACAGTTTAGGCAATGGAGAAGAGTGTCACGCGGGCGTGTCAGCTCTGCATGGAGTCACCTTGACGAGATACTGACACGTGCTTCCTAGGATTTTGAATTAAATCAACGTTCTTGAAGGCAATTGGGCTAATAGTTGGGCCTGTCGTGATGAGAGTAGAGAGTCCCAGGCATTTGAAGAAGGGAAATTGGGTTCTACCCCCAAGAGAAAAAAAGGTTAATCGGCAAATTAGCCAAAAATCTTAACAGATCAATTCATACAGTTAGTTTTCTATATTAATACAGTTTTGTTCTTTGTTTCAACCGGTGAAATTTGTAGAAAAAAAGAATAATAAAAATAATTATTAGGCATAAAAGTGTAAATCATGTGTTATTGTATTTGTTTACTGAAAATTAAATAGTGTCATTACTTTATAACAAAGTTTTAAATTTTATTTTATATAATTTTTATCTATAATTTCGTCCTCAGTTCCATACTATTTTATCTTTGATGTTTAAATTTATTGATTCACAATGTAATAAAATAGATATGCAATTTTATATTATTTTGAGAAAGTCTATACTATTTTCTTATCCATGGAACCTGCGATAGTTGAAATAATAAAAAAAAAAATTTGAGACTGGTTACGTGTCCATTCCATTTCCCTGTTATTTCTGAAGAATCATATCAGAACTAATATACTATTCGCTTTTCATTCCATCTGACTATATGTTCCGTTTCACATATTTAAATTCTATATTATATCAGATGGTACAATTCAACATTTGAGAATTACATATGATTGGGGTTCACATCAGGGAAAACATTAACATCTTCTATAAAGGCATAGTCATATCAATATTTGAAAAATATGTTAAGATGATCTTTAGATTAAACTATATTTTCATTTTTTCTGATATATGCGTCATGTATAATGGTAATGCATCTTATTGACATTTTGAAATTTGGATTTAATTTACGTAAAATTAGAATTGACTTTAGATTAGGGTTCATTTTACTGCATATAGTGAGTAAATATGAAACTGAAGTAGTGTTTAGTATTTAGAGATTTTGGGTATGATTTGAGTTTTATACTATTTCGATGATATAGAGTAGAATAATTTGTGTATTTGTATGAAGTCAATAAACATGTAACGTGGTGTATTATCCTTCTTTAATAAATAATTGTTTTTAGTCATTTCTGGTCATATGTTATTTGTTATATGTATCAAATAAATTATGTGTTTATTGGAAAACTATAAAAGAAAAAGATTTTACCGAATGATTTGGATGTAAATGTTAGATTCTTCATTATGTCAAAATTATTACTATCTACTTAATTTCACATCTAGATATAGTTATTACACACAGAATTTTGAAGAATGGGGTCAGGTCATGCAGGCTAAAGATTTATCAGTATTCTTAACGATTCAATATGAGCTCAACACGTGCATTTTACAAGCAAAAAATGGATCTTATTTTCCTGTTTATAATGTGTTTAGGAGTGTAATTGGTTATATTCCAAGAATCGTCAACAAGTCTGTTCCAAGAATCGACAAATCATTTGACTAAAAACAAAACAAGAGTCGTCAATATACAAGTCTTCTGACCAGCAAATTGTTGTATAAATAGAAGTGTCATATATTGAAAACAATACCAAATGAAAAGTGAATATAACGATGCTGCATAAAGATTGTGATAGATGTGATTGGAGAAATTAAAAGATAATCTTACGCTTGAGATTAAACATTCACTAATAGCAGTTTGATAATTTTGCACTATATAAATTAGAAGTGATTGTAACAGATTTTTTTTGTCTCTTGAGAGCTATCTAGATTAGCTCGCTTCTGGAGCATCCGTGGATAGTGCAAAATGCAGATCCTTGGGGCATCTACAGAGATTGAAGAAGCATTCCACGTAGAGAAGCACAGTTTAGTTTAACACCAGCTTTTGTTCGATGTGTATTTTTTTTTTATCTTTGGTCGTAGTGATTTAATAAGTTGCTTGATCTAACAAGTCTGCCATAAATCATTTTCCTTCAAAAGGTGGATGATATAAGAATTGAACAAATGTTTTCTTTTATCTCTAAGAAGAATAATGTCTACTTAACCTCAACAATGGCATATCTTGTTGTAAAGCTGGAGTCGAGTTGTGAAATTGTGGTAGCGTTGACTCAGAAGGCGTATCGGTAAATGGCATCAGCAACACCGTCTTCGTCATTGCTCACACCGATCACATCAGCCACGGCCTTTGTCTTTTCTGCACCGTTGCTCATAGCGACTCCCCACGACGCTAGTTCCAGCATCTCTATGTCGTTTTCCCCGTCCCCTATCGCCATTATCTGATACAATAACCCCACTTGTCTCATCATATTAAACAAATACATCCACTCTAAGAAGCAAAAAAGATATTGACTTTTGATAAATCTCTACCGAACTAGAAACTTCAGGTCTGTTAGTTTTGAGTAAGATTCATTTATTTTCAGTTTTCTGTTTTTTACCTCATTCGGTGAAACGCCCAAATGATTGAGTAGCATTTTTACACCGTTGCCTTTGGAGGTTCCGGGTGGGACGATTTCTAACATGTCTGATTGAGCTTGAACGACACTGGCACGGTCTCCCGTTGCTTCTGACCAATACGGACGGATAACAGATGAGACCCCCTCGGTGGTGTCCATAAATATCACTTTCTTCGGATACACAAAGAGAACGGAACATCAGTACATAGGCTTATACAGATGCTAGAAAGCAAAATCAAATTTCTGACTCCAAGAGTTACCTGAATGTCAGCTTCAGCTATAAATTGATCAACCGACGATATGATCTCGGCCTGTTAGAGATTGTGTAAGAACCCGACAAGAATCAAATTAGAAGGGAACGGTTTAACGAAACCTACCTTTGGTTCATTGTAAGTTGTGTGAAGAGAGTCGACAAGAGGATGGTCAAACAATGTCAAGCAGCGATCCTGGCTAAATGCAATGAGAGGAATCCCATGCTCCAGAGAATAAAGACACGTCTGCAAATTACAAATCAACATGTCTAAATATCGGAAATACAACTTATAGCTCTCAGTTATTCAATCGTTATGCACACATATACTAAGTTGAGAACTATGATGCATGTTAAATCTTAGCTGCTCGTTTTAGTATAAATTCTAAGTGCCTTACCTCTCTGCAGACATCTCGGTCCAAATTTCCTCTATACACTTCTTTCCCCTGCCTACCATAAACAAGTAATCCCTGTAATCAACAGAGATTTTGTGAGATATAGAAAATCAAACATATACAATTAGAAAGGTGCATGTCACTGGTCAAGGAAAATAAAAGACCTGAACAAATACGCCTGGAGAGGACTCTGAAACAATGCCATCGCGTCCAGCTAGATCAGCCATTTTCAAGATTTTCATCGCACCTGGGCGGGACTGTGACAAATAATTGATGTTAGCCAAAGTAACAGAAAAGAAGGGGCAGACGTTATTGGATGGATGGATATACTGTTCTGTTCTCACCTTCCCCGTAGCTATCACGACTTTAAGTCCTCTCAATGTGGCTTCTTTTAAAGCTTTCGCATTAGCTTCTGAAATCTGACTTTTGCTGTTAAGCAGTGTGCCTAGCATTCACATTATGATCCAATAAGATAGAGAGAAGAAAACCAAAAAGCAAACTGAATAGGTAACCCCTTACCATCCATATCACAGAAAATATAGGAGAACTTGGGTCTGTAGAATCTTAGGCCGTCCCCTTTCTTCCTGTCTTTTAACACTAGTCTTAGCACAAACAAACAAACAAACAAACAAACAGTATATTTACAGTAACCAATCGAGGAAAACTTACCATCTGCTTTCTCCAGGTGAGGTTTAGCTGTTTTCTCAATGTCATAAGCACTCTGAATGAGTCCTTTCCCTTTCCACCCAAGGCTCTTTAGCAGCAACTCCTCTTCTTCCTCCATTTCTTTCTCAGCCTCGTCGCTGATCTCATGATCAAACCCCAGTAGGTGTAACATCCCATGTATCTTTAAAAAAAACATCAAGGTATCAGCAAAAAGAGGCTACAACACAAATCAAATCAACAATATATATATATATAAAAAGGATCCTTCCCTTCTTATATTTTCTAGAGATTATATGATGGAATAGCTATAGTTCTAAGAAAAAAAGAAATATAATTTATCCAAACAAAACTCTTAGTAATTCTAATTTACACATACCACAAGAATGCGAATCTCATCAAGAAGAGAGTGACCTCTCTCAGCAGCCTGCCTTGCAGCAGTCTCAACAGAAATGACGATATCTCCCATCATAAGCTACAACCACCAACAAAAACATAGAATAACTTTTAGCCAAAATATTAGAAACCATAAAATAAAAATAACTAACTCTCTCCCTCTCACACACACTTACAACAGGAAGCTTAAGTTCAGGGACATGCTGTGACATGGAAAGCACATCAGTAGGATGATCTTCCCCTCTCCACTCTTTGTTCAATTTACAGATAAACTCATCGTTGCAAAGCATCACAGATAACTCAACGGTTTCAAATCCACCAACGTCTTCTATATCAGTCTCTCTCGTTTTATACTTGGAATCTTTCAAACCGTTGAACGCCAGCTTCATTGCCATTGGAACATTGAGACGAAGCATCTCCGCAATATTCTACAAAAAAAAAAAAATAATAATAATAAGCTTAAATCTGGAATTTCGAGTAATTAGTTATAAGAGATTGAGAGACGAACCTGAATCTCGTTATCATCGGGAAGATTCTCTTCGATGCAGATACTAACGCTAAGCTCGAGTTCTTGTTTCCTCTTAGGAGCTCTCTTCCTCATCTTCCTGTACTCTCTCCTCTCCGCGAAGACGCGACCTGCCGGCTTTGGAAGCTTCCATTCTCCTCCGACGAGATTGCGTAGGGCGTGGAACCTCCGGTGGAGTGTGGAAGGGAAGTTCGGGGAGGAGGATAGTGAGGAAGTGACATTGAGACGATTCGGTGCGGTTACGAGGGTGATTCTCGGAGAAGGACGTAGGAATTGAGGATGGAGGAGACGGGCGTGGTGGTAGAGAGAGGCGCGTGTCATTTCACGCGCTTCTGTAGAGAGGTTATGGCGGAGGATTGGGTAGAGACGAGAGAGCATGGAGGAGATGGGAGGGAGGGGAGGCGTGCGTGTTTTTCCAGTTTTTTGCTGAATGTGTGGAGACTACGAACCGAATCGAACCGAGGTTATTCGAAGTTAGAACCGAATTTAGTTTTATTATGAACCGAACAGTAAAAAACATTCTTTTAACAGTAAAAGACAGTTTTACCTGGGTATTCAATTCGGTAAAATTAAACCTAAATAAAATAAAGAAAATTAGTTTTGATTTAGTAATACGGAATATACAGAATGAATGTTGATTTTGAAAAACCACGGTAGCATAATAAAGATATGGTTTGATATATAAACCGATTGAACCGATAAAATTTTATAAACCATTTAATTAAAATATAGTAGCATAATTATATGTAGATTATATGATATAACTGATAATATATGTATAATTTATCTTATTGATATATTTTATATTTAAAATGTTGGTTTAGTAGTTTATTAGTTTGATCTAAGTTAAAATTATTTTTTATTAAATTAAAGAAAATGTAACAATTTTTTAAATATATGTGCTAATATTTAGTTAATAATTATCATATTACTAATATTTCTTATCTTTTATTTTTTAAAAATATTATTATTAACTTAATATGTTTACTAATTATTTTAAAAGGTATAATAAAATAGAAAAGTATTCTATTTTAAAACTGAAATATCTTTATGTTTTGATAAAGCCGATATATAATCATATAACGTAAAATTTACAAAATGTTATAAAATATAAATATATTTATGATTTTTGGTGTAAACCGAATAAACCGAAAGATATAGTTTTTGGTGACATATCACATGCTTCTGAGGAGAATTTTTGGTGGAGGATTGGGCAGAGACGAGAGAGCATGGAGGAGATAGGAGGGAGGGGAGGCATCCATGTTTCCAATTTTGCTGAATGCACAGAGACTACAAACCGAATCGAACTGAGGTTATTTGAAGTTAAACCAAAATTAGTTTTATTATGAACGAACACCGAATTTTATTTTATTATGAACCGAACAGTTAAACCGAATTTAGCTTTATTATGAACCAAACAGTAAATAATAGTTGTGTATCCTCTCCCAACAGAACTAGGTGATGACTCAACTTATGTTCGTCTCTATGTTTATAATAGTCGATATCGGCTTAGGGTCTTGACTAGAACCGGACGTTTTTAATCCAATCTGAAATTTGAATCCAAATCCGAGGAAAAAAAAAACAAATCAGGTCCAAATTATTATAAAAAAAAAGTATCTAATAGAGCTTAAAAACAAGGTCCTTTTGGATTCAGATACAATCCGAACAAAGATTTAAAAATATACAAATTAGTTAAATTTATTAATTTAGGTATATTTGTTTGGGTATTTTAGAAATTTTAAAGATTGTCGGATAGTTTATGTTATAGTTTAGGTATATGTGATAGTTTATGTTCTTTTTGTTTTAATTTAGTTTAGGTAGCTCAAATAAATTTTAGTTAAGTTTTTGAATAATTTATGTATTTTAACTTTTTAAGAGATTTTTTAAACAATTTCATAAATTTTTTTATAATATGACTAGGTGGCTTCCTGCACCATGTGCAGAAATAAAAATTTTAAAAATAAATTTATATTTAAAAATAAAATTTAATTAATTTTTAAATTTATTATTTGATTACATTATTAATTTTATATTAATTATATGTATAAATTAAGAGAAAATAAACAGTTTTATGTAAATATATGACAGTTCTCTCAAATATAACTTTTTTAGGGTTTTTCACAAAAATAGATCTTAAAACTAAAATGACCAAAACATCATCTCTTATTTTGAAAATTTCAATTTTTTTTTTTTTAAAAAAATTGTAATCCTATCCCCAAAACCCCACTCCTCAACTTTAAACAAAAATGTTTACGATTAGTTAACCCAAAGGATATAAGTGTATATTTACTTATTTTTTGATAAAACATTTAAGTCTATCTTAGTCATTTTTATTTTATGGTCTATATTTGTGATTAGAACTTTTTTTAGGTCTATCTTAAAAAAATTTCTTAAATTTATATTTAATAATATATATGTATATTTTATCTTTGGGTTAAAATATATTAAATTAGATTCTATACTATTAAGAGAAAATTTTGTTAGATATATAATTATCAAAATATAAAACTAAATAATATTTCTAAAATTTTTAGATGTTATAAATAAAGCTAATGGTATTGGGATTAGAAAATTTTAATTTTAAAAAATACTGCATAAAATTTTGAAAAACAAAATTTATTAATAAAAAATATATAATTAAAAAAATACACTTATAAATATTTCAATATTTTTAATATTATTATATTTATAATTCTACTATTATATTATTTATTATCTTAATGATAATTTATGAGTTCTTTTTCTTATCACTATTTTAATACAAATTTTTGTTTAATCAAACATAAAAAGTAATATAAAATTATTTTTGTTTATTTTAAATTATATTTAAGAATATGCAGGTATATATTTAAAATTATAATCTTAGATAATTTTTTATCAATTTATTTTAATTAAATATATTAAATAAATTTGAAGAAAATTTTATTATTATCAAAAATTAAAATTAGACAATATTTATTAAATTTTTAAATATATAAGAAATTATTAATTTTAGGATTAAATTTTAATAATTTTCAAAAATGTATGCATTTTTGAATTTTTTGTAATAAAATTGTATAGTTTTAAAATATATAATTAAATGATAGTTTCGAAAATTTTAATGCCATATTGGTATATATTCATTTTAATGATGATTTATTAGTTATTACCATATTTTAAAAATATTTCCAAAAATATAAATCGACATTAAATGTAATATATGAGTTGTTACCATATTTTATAAAGTTTTCCAAAAATATATATTAACATTAAATGCAATTGTACATGTCATATTTAATCATACGATATGTCATCAATTCTAGTAGACATGTCACCATTTTTTGTGAAATTGATTCTAGAGAGGACATGTGGCAAAATCACTTTACAAATAATGTATAGGGGATAGAAAGATTCAAACAAGATGTAACACAAAAACTAGTAAAAATTGAATGAGACTAATGAGCATAATATAAAAAATTCAAAAAATCTGAACCAAATGGCACCGAAGGTCAAGTCGAGCCTTGACTATATTTTTACTCTGTTGAACTCAATTTTGACATGTTATGTTGATACTTTTCCATGCAATTTCCCGATTAGTTCAGTTGATGAAATCGAGCAATGCATCGCTCTAAACACTGTAATGATTAACGAAATATACTCATATGTCAAAATCATAATTTGTTTGAATTAAAAATGTGTGTCATAAGTTTGTTGTGTATAATGCACAAAATAGATATGAAAAACATTGTGAAAAGGGGATAGAAATTCAAGGATACATGGAGGAAATGCAACTCCACCATTCATTCTCATCAACAACACTGACAAAAATATCAAAAACCGTTTAGTGCATGATTAATCCGGATTCTTAATTTGGAATTCTTAATTTATGATTTGACATTATTTTTTTTTTACATTTTTTAGATAAGAATCAGTTCTTATATTTCTTATTTAATAGATAATTCTTAGATTTTTTTAATTAAAAGCTAAAAACCCTATCTTAGAAATCCAGGTTAATTATATTCTTAACATCATCCACAAGTTGGACAATCGGAAGTGTGAAGACGGAATGTTTTCACCTCAGTATTTTTTCATTCTCAAAGAACTCTATCCCAAAGAAGCATTTCGTGTAACCTAAACTGTGATTGTATAATAATATTACGTTAATTCAAAAAAATAATTCATTTTACAACCAAACTCTACCAAAGACTTGATGTCGATTTTCGTTATTTGGTGTGATAGAAGACTTACAAGTCTGTAACCTTTAACCCATGCTCTTTTCTGTTAAGAAAACGAGGCGTTGTGGAAAAATTATTTATTAGTATTATTACATTGACTCTTCTGATTGTGATTGTATTGTTTACATTTTTGTTATTCTTGTTTTTTTGAGGAATATGTTAGCTTACAGTTTGCTTTTAGACAACGACATATGAACTTTCCTGTAAAACAACCAAAAATGTATAAAAATCGAGAATTCAACACAAAAGACATTTCATCCTCCCTTTCCAACGTCAGAAAGACTTGGTAGAAAAAAACTAATTAGTGAGTCAACTTGATTGATTGAAAAAAACTATTATGTATGTATAAATAGATTGCCATGCAACTAGTGACAGAGCCAAAAAAAAAATCGAGCGGAATCAATATTTCAAATAAAGTTTTAAAATATAAATATATATTGTATTGTTTTTAAAAAAAAATATTTAATTTTTAGATCACTTAAAAGCAAATTTTTATTATAATTTCAAATTTATTTAATTAAAAACAAAGTTATTTTAAAATATTTACTAAAATATTATTTAATTGTTGGTTAATTTTGTTTTTAGAAATTGATGCATTATCTCATAAAGTAAAAACTATAAATATAAATGGTAAATTTATTTGTGAGTTTATATTATTTTATGTACTATAATTTAAATTGAAAATTGATCTATAGGGATTACGATATATTGAAAAACATCTAAGGTAACTTTCTTTCTTTTGTTTTAGTGAAAAATAAAAAAATGGAAACCAGATTATACTGAGAAAAAGAAAACCGAAAAGTTAGTTAATAATAATTAATGAAAATTCATAAATGAATGAAGAAGAATTATTCTTTTATATAATTAAGTGGGTTAAGTAAAACTGAGCCCAAAATCAAAATATGTAGTCCAAAACTAAGCAGAAAATGATTATCTATGTCTAATTATGTTTGTGTTTCACTTTTTTTCTTTTGTGGCATCATCTAAACTTTTTGAATGGAATCAAAAATAATTTTAACAAAAAAAAACACATAAAAACATGCACTTCCACTATACTGATTATATCCCTGCATGCAACCATGGTAGAACATAATTATGCTGAAATCAGAGGCAGAATTTCGTAGGAAACTTTTTTTGTTTTTTTTTTGTCTAAAAAAGAAAATTAAAAACGAACCAATTGCGGACCGTCACGTGTCAGTGGAATCCGTAAACAATGCAAAAAACACTTTAAAATTGGTTCTTATTTCATCACTACTGTAATCGATTTTTATGTTTTTGTGGGGTCTATGCAATAATTTTTTTCTAAAATCCCTTTAAAAACCTAGGGTAAGAGCATCTCCATTGGAGGCTCTTAGGGGGAGTTCACCCCTTTCCCAAAAAAATAAAAATAAAATAATATTATTTTGGTGAACCTCTCTCTCAAAAGTTCATGGTGGTGAACCTGCTTCACATGGGGTTCGCCACGTGACGGCCCCCCATTTATCCGATTTTATTTATTTTATTTTTTTAAAACAAAAAAAAAATTAAAAAATCAATTTTTTTTTTTTTGGTGAACCTCCCATGGGGTTCACCAATGGAAATGCTCTAATCCTGCTCTTACCATATTAAATTTTCATCTCTGCTTATTCATTGTCAATATTCAGGAAAACTAAAATATCATACATAAAAAATGAAAGGCTCTTCGAATTCAAGGAGTAAAACAACCAAAAGTGTATAAAAATCGAGAATTCAACACAAAAGACATTTCATCCTCCCTTTCCAACGTCAGGAAGACTTGGAAGAAAAAAACTAATTAGTGAGTCAACTTGACTGAATTTATCTTTTTGCAATATATTATACTATTTTGTATATATAAATAGATTGTCATGCAACCATGTTACCATCTCAAATTTTCATCTCTCCTTATTCATTATATATCAGGAAAACCAAACTATCATATATAAAAATAAAATGAAAGGCTCTTGGAATTCAAGTAGTATCATTCCTATTACTCTTACTTTTCTTTTCTTATTCACTTATAATTTCACGGCCGTGTTTGCAGCTCATGCTCGACACTTGTGTCATCCTGTACAAAGAGATGCACTTCTCAAGTTCAAGAACGAGTTTGAAATAAAGAAACCTTGTTTAGACGGCATTCGTCCCAAGACAGAGTCATGGGCAATCAATAGTGACTGTTGCTCTTGGGATGGTATCACATGTGATACCAAGTCCTGGGAAGTGATCGAGCTAGACCTTAGTCGTAGCTGCCTCCACGGCCAGCTTCACTCCAATAGCAGTTTATTTAAGGTTACAAACCTAACCACTCTCGACCTTTCATATAATTATTTCACTGGTCACATCTCATCTTCTATTGGAAATTTTTCACACCTTACCATTCTCGACCTTTCTAAAAATTATTTTAGTGGTTGGATCCCTTCTTCAGTTGAAAATCTTTCACATCTTACCTTTCTTGACCTCTCTGGTAATGATTTCATTGGTGGGCTGCCATCTTTTGGCAGTATGAACCAGTTGACCCTCTTAAATGTTGAGTTCAATAAATTTAGTGGGAGCTTCCCACATTCCCTACTCAATCTTAGAATGTTGTCGGAATTGGATCTCTCCCACAATCAATTTACTGGCACACTTCCTTCTAACATGAGTTCACTCTACAACTTAGAGTACTTTGAGGCATGGGACAACTCTTTTAGTGGAACTCTCTCTTCTTCCCTTTTCACTATTCCTTCTTTGGCTTATGTTGATTTGAGAGATAACCAACTCAACGGTACTCTTGAAATATTAGCCAATATATCTTCACCATCTAAACTATCATGGTTAGTCCTTGGGAATAACAACTTCATAGGGCCAATCCCAAAATCCATTTCGAAATTAGTAAACCTTCAAGACCTTGACCTTTCTCGTTTAAACACTCAAGGCCCGGTTGACATTAGTATCTTCTCGAATCTCAAGTATCTCCTACTTCTTAACCTATCCCATTTAAACACCACCACTACCATTGACTTGAATGAAATCTTACACTCACATCTGAAGTCAATCTATTTATTGGATCTCTCTGGGAATCATGTTTCAACCATCAACAAAAAAAGTTCAGGTGCAAATCATCATTTGCAATTGGTAAGTCAGTTGTACTTGTCAGGATGCGGTATCACCGAGTTTCCTGAGCTCTTAAGAACCCAAAACAATTTGACGAGTCTAGACATTTCCAACAACAAAATCAAAGGTCATGTTCCTGGCTGGCTATGGACACTACCAACTTTAAAGTTTTTAGATCTTTCCTACAACATGTTCACTGGTTTTGAAACGAAACTCGGATTATTCAAACCATCAATGCAGTACTTGGTTGGCTCCAATAACAATTTCACGGGGGAGATTCCCTCTTTCATATGTGACATGCGCACTCTAATCACTCTTGATTTGTCTAGCAATAACCTCAAAGGTGCCATCCCTCGTTGCATGGGAAACCTCAAGAGTAATCTTTCATTCTTAAACCTTCGTCAGAATCGTCTTAGTGGAGATCTTCCAAATATCATATTTGGAAGTTTAAGGTCGCTTGATGTCGGGCATAACCAACTCACGGGTAAGCTTCCAAGATCTTTGACCCGTTTCTCTACTCTTGAAGTTTTGAACGTGGAAAGCAACAGAATCAAAGACACATTTCCGGTATGGTTAAGCTCCCTAAAACATCTTCAAGTACTTGTCTTACGCTCCAATGAATTTCATGGACCGATACGTCAAGACTCATTTCCTACGTTGCGAATCATCGACATTTCCGATAATCACTTCAATGGTAAGAGCCTTTTATGACTAAGAAAATTATTGTTTCTATGATGAGTACGTTTTTAAAGAGAAAAGAAAATGGGGTTTAAGTATGCTATAAATATAGATCTAAAATAGGGAAAATTTCATAAAAATAGTTAATTTCATTAATCTTTTTAATACCCAAATTTTTACGCTATGCAGTTTAATATCTCAATTATTGTTTTGCCATTTTAATACACAAAATTGTATAATTGTACCCACTTTAATACTTAAATTTTTTTTATTTTAATAAAAATACTAATAAGTTTCAAACGAAATTAAAAAAAAAACTTGAAAGAAAATTATAATTTTATTTTGTGTTTGAGAAATAAAAGTAAATATTTTTCTTATAATCTTAAATTTGTAAAAAGTTTTTAAGTTTAAAATATTGAATTTAGTTTGTTTTCTGAAATTAAGAAATGAATTAATTTTTTTAAAAATAGTTTTTATAACTAAATTTTCTCCAGAGTTTATTTACCTTTCTTAAATCTTTAAGTAAAATTAAAGATTTTAAATATTTTTTCTTTGATTTTGGAGATTTTTTTTTAATTTTCGTTTGAAACTTATTAGTATGTAAATAAAATAAACAAAGCTTGAGTATTAAAATAGGCACAATTATATGTGTATTAATATGGGCGAAATAGTTAGTTGGAGTATTAAACTGGATAGTGGAAAAAGTTTGATATTTAAAAAGCTTAACGAAATTGATATGTGATATTTTTATGAATTTTTCCCTCTAAAATATTAAAAAATTATTCCCTCAATTTGTTTTCTTTGCTTTCTTGTTGATTCTGACTTTGTCCCAACAGGAACTTTGCCTTCAAATTACTTTGTGAACTGGATTGCCATGTCATCACTTAACCAAGATCCCTCTAAAGAAAAGTACATGGGAGATTTTTTAAGCTATTACCACGATTCAGTGGTTTTGATGAGTAAAGGCATAGAGATGGAGCTTGTACGCATTCTAAAAATCTACACTGCACTAGACTTCTCTAGGAACAACCTTGAAGGAGAGATCCCACGGTCCATCGGAACATTAAAAGAGCTTCATGTGCTCAACTTATCATACAACGCTTTCACCCATCACATCCCATCGTCCATGGGGAACTTGACAGCTCTCGAGTCACTAGACGTTTCTCAAAACAAACTTTCCGGAGAAATTCCACAAGAGCTAGGGAGCCTCTCGTACCTTGCGTACATGAACTTCTCTCACAATGGGCTTGTAGGTCTTGTACCGGGAGGCACTCAGTTTCGAAGACAGAAATGCTCTTCTTTCGAGGAGAACTTTGGACTTTTTGGCCCGGCTCTCGATGAAGTTTGCGGAGATATCCACACGCATGCACCACAAGAGCATGAAAAGATGAAACAAGAGGAAGAAGATGAAGAGGAGGTGTTGAGTTGGGTTGCAGCTGCTATAGGATTCGGACCTGGTATTGTCTTTGGAGTGACGATTGGGTACATACTGATCTCTAACAAACCAGAGTGGTTCAGGAGCTCTTTTGGCCGAAACGAACGTAGAAGCTTCGGTAAGAAGAGGTAATGTTCTGTATTTTGAAAGTACAGAAACTCTATTTATTATAATGAAATTGTAACGTATTAAGTTTGTTTCTTATAGCCGTTTGATAACTCAAGCTGCTAATCTAGGAGAGGAGGACAATGAAGCAAGTTAACCAAGTGGACTGCAGAGAAAGAAGCTTGCGGAGAAAGCAACCTAGCTCCCAAATTTTTGTTTTTGTAGGGTGGTTTAGTTTATGATGGTCTTGGTTTCCGGTTTAGCTTGGTTCTGTATTTGCTCAGAACCACACCTCACATGTGTGATGTGTGTGTTTACTTCTTCATCTGTTGTCAGATAAACATACCTAAATTTCGTCATTGATCCAACATAGCTAGTTGGTAATAAAAATAGATATTTGCTTTATATACTAAAAAGACATCCCTAATCAAGAATCTGAAATTTTGTGAACATTTTTGAATTGAATAGAAGGCAAAACTATTTGTCAGACAAAAAAAACATTTTTACAATAATATGCTTCTATTTTTTTTTAATGTAGTGCATTGACCTTTGATTTAAATGGGGAGATGAGAGCTTCTAGTAGCGAACCACTTGCTTTAGACGACAGCTTCCACGAGTAGACACTATTGCAAGTAATTGTGACTATCAATTGATATCTCAAAGTAACAAATGAATTCTGAATTTGATAAATTGTCTGAACTGAATGAATAATCAAGAATATTGACTGAACTGATTCAAGAAATAAAGAATCGTTTGGCAAATATTAACTCTTTTTAACCATAGAATTTAGAAACCATGGGCACTAATACTATTCCTCAGTCATATATAGAACCCCATCGCCTGTTTCAAATTGCGAATTGTGTCTTCTGCTATCTCCGTGGCTCTGTCCGCACCTTCTGACAGTACTTTGTCCAAATACGCTGACTCAGCTGTTATCTCCTGATAGCGAACCTGCATATGAAAATCTATATGAAACCAAAAAAAAAAACAGCCTATAACGTGCAAAAAAATATCTTGATTTTTCATTTTATGATATGAAGAGATGAAATGGTATTGGATTGAGGTTATAAGTTTTGACTTGGCAGACCTGGATTGGACTCAGATGCTCGACCACAGCATCCGTGAGGAGAGGCTTAAATGTGCCCCAGCTCATTTCTTTGCATTCCTCCATCACTTCCTGCAAAAATGTTCCCCGATTGAATAGGCTTGCATTGCTTTACATCTTAAAAGGGATTATGATCACCAAAAGAAAAAGTAAAGCAATCTATAAGAGTCAAAACCCATTGTTTATTTTCTTCATACCTCTTTTGTCTTGCCTGAAACAATCTGATATACGGAGAGGAGATTGTTGCATTCAGGTCTCTCGGCATTGTCATATTCAAGGCTGTTGGAACAGCACAGCAAAGCAGGAACTTTGCAATATAGATATCTCAAATAGTACTAAAGAGATAACAAAACTTTTGGACTGCATGGAAATTTAATTAGCACTCACCCTACGAATGAGTCTGTCTTGCACCGTTTTATCTTATCCGCAATCAACTACATATAATTTTTGAGAGGTTGGATTTAGTAGCACACGAACTTTACATACAACCAACATGACACAGAACAAAAATATGTTGTGTACATTACTAATCACCAGGCACACAATTTTCTACGAGAACTTAAGCACATATGGGTTGTATGATAATGTAAACTAAGATATTTTTATTTGAAAATAGGACATCACAGCTTTCATATAAATGGTGACAACTGCGAGTTAATTTTACTTACATCCTTTGAGTCAAGGAGATTGATCCGGGACTGATCAGAAGGTGCAGACTTGGACATCTACAAAAGATTACATGACAGCAAGACCTCAGCAACAAGTAAGAAATTCCTCTGAACTATCTGAGCAAGCTAAAAAATTAGATATTCTGAAGTATACAAAACTCTATCCGGACCACCTCCATGTTACAGAAGTGTTAAAATCATTACAAATTAGCTAGAAGCTGAAAACAAACAGACTACCTAGTTGCAAAATTCTCTTCGATGTTCAAAAGAATAGGAAGAGTTAACCCCAACACATTTACAATAGGATTTGTGAACGCTACTCCGTATCCTTTAAAATTTGACTTTTTAACACTAAGACCAACAGTGACGCCACTGCTGAATGCAGAAAGAAAATAAATGAAAACATTCTACCTTAGAACGACCATCTGTAAGAGACATAACTCGGGCTCCAACTTGTGGTATGAGTGGTTCTGGTATCTACAAAATAATTCATTTTAAAAACCCGATTAGCCATCTGTGATAAAGCCCCACAATGAAAATAGCAAGCATTTGAAAAATTCTCACCTTAAAAATCGAACCACCACGTCTGGAAATGGAAATCACAAATGTAAAAGGATAGATCATAAGCATTTGAATTGGATGGTATACTTAATATTCTAATGCACAGAGCAAAATTTACTTACCCTCCAAGCTTTTTCCACTTCCTTCCACCATATAAATTATTCACACGCTGTGCCAGGTCGCGGGCAAGTTCTAGGTGCTGCTTCTGGTCCTCACCCACAGGGACAAAATCCGACTGCAGAAAGCATGTTGCAGAGTATAAGAAACACGCTGCAAATTCAGCAAAATGGTCATCTTACATGCAAATAAGCATTTATCTAATATAAGGTTGTTAATTTACTAGTGTTTACACTAATTACAGATGAAACTTGACCCTCTTAAAGTATATCACCTTATATAAGAGGATGTCAGCAGCCATTAGAACTGGATATGTTAATAAAGAAACAGAAGCATTCTCACCCCCCTGCCAAGCCAAAAAAATGGAATCAGTAAACAAAATCCTGTGTGTATACAATCACATAAACATTTTCAGGTTTATGCAGCAGAAATACTAAGTTGACTATGATGTTCTGATTCCCATTACATTAGTAAGTTAACACCACAAAATCAACAACAAACGTCAAAAATATTACGTCTGTTATGAACACCTAACTGGAATTTGAAATATAGGTAGATTCCCTTACTATGTACCTGAATCACATAATGCTGAAAGAAATAATGAGAATACAAAAAAAAGAGGACATATTACGCACCTCCTTGCGTGATTTCTCTTTGAACTGAGTCATTTTCTGTAGCCAACCAATAGGTGTTGATGAACTCAATAGCCACATTAAATCCACATGAGCACGGACGTGAGATTGCACAAACACTGAAGCCTACAAAGGTCGCTCTTTGATTGATTACTTCAGATTTTCACATAAAAGAGTTAAATATCGAAACCGAACCTTAGAAATGTCTACACCACATGCTAGATAGAGCGCTGCAGTATCCCTAGTTGCCTTTCTTAGTTCTTGCGGGTCATATGGCAGTGTTATCTACATTGGTCAAGACATAATAAACTAAACACTGCAAGAAGTATTAGGCCTAAACTTAACTTTTGAAATATAGATGATACATACCGCATGAAGGTCCACAATGAAAAAGAGTGTTTCATATGTATCCTGCAGACATAAAAAGAAAATACAAAAAGCCTAAAAACAAAAGAGAGATATATATATTGCAACCAGAACCATTTTTCATAAAGCCTTATACTGTTGTACAACACAACCATCTAAATCTGATGCACACATATAAATACAGAAACACTAAAAAAAAACTGTAACAACCAAAAGATAAACCATTTCCTTAAAGCCTTGAACTTTTACAACAAAACCATCTAACTGTGTAGTAAAAGTGGAGCTACCTACCTGAAGAGTGACCCAATTTTTTATGGCGCCTAGATAGTTTCCAAGGTGAATTGAACCTGTAGGCTGGACTCCAGAGACAACACGTTTCCTGCCCCCATTAGAAGAACTAGTTCTATATGAAAATCAAAAGAATGCAACTAACAAGCAAAGCTAAAGACAAGAATTTTACCTTACAGAAGAGGCAGAAGGAGAAGTCTCTTGGGAGCAATAGCATTGGAATCTTTTTCTGTTGAGCGGAGCAGAAAGAGGGTTTGGGTGTCTGAGGAATCTGGTGCTGTAGCCGAGACGAGAGAACCTGGAGGATGAAGAGAGGATGAGGGAGTGAGAGAGAGTCATTCTCTCTTTCTGATGGTCACGCGGCACAACAGAGAAAAGTCAAACTACAATCGGTCTGTCCCCTTAGATATTAAACCAATTGTGTCGCTACTGAACCGAACCAAAATGCTCAAGCCGAATTGAAATTTCTGAATCTGCATTCCAGTTTAATTTCTACTTGTAGTAGCGATTTAAGTCGGCTCACTTTCGGTATTTTGTCGGTTTTTCAAGTACAGTTACTAGGGCTGGGCAAATAAACCGAACCCGAAAACTCGAACCCAACCCGGTAAAAATGAATTCGAACCAATCTAAACCCGATATAAATACCGAATGGATCTTATTTTATGGTATTTCGGGTTATGTGTATTATCCGAACCGAACCCGAACCTAAATGGATATCCGATAGAATTCGAAACATTCAAAATTTAAAAAAAAAACTTGTACCAAACATGATTTCAGTTCGTAATATATATATATATATATATATCCAAAATACTTTAAGATATTATTAAACATCTAAAATAATTATTTTTTACATGAAAGTTGATAGTTGTAGATGACAGTTGAAGTTTGACGTTTTTAGATTTTGGCTTTATTTTCACCGAATAACGTTTCTCATTTCATGAGAACTTGATTTTCATTTTATGTCTTCATTTATTTGGTTTTCTTTTTATTAATAACTATGTTTACCTTTCGTTTGATTTTGAATGATCACCTTTGATAATCTTTTCTTAGTTTTGAACCAATTTCACTTATGTTTTGGTTATAAAATAGGTATAAATCGTATTTTAAATTCGAATAAATCAAATTTAATTATGTTTTGGTTATAAAGTAAGTATAAATAAGATATTTTTAAACCAAAGAACCAAGTAGGACCCGAACCGAAAGTATAATGGGTTATACCGGTTCTTTGAAAATTTACTTACCCTGACCCGAACCCGATAGAACCCGAACCAATCTCAAACCAAATTTTCATATAACTCGAATGGGACTGATTTTGATAAAACAGAAAAACCGAAACACGAGTGGACCAAACCGAAACCTGATTGCGACCCCGAACGTCCAGTCCTAAAAGTTATTTTGCGCATGATTACTACAGTATTTAACGAATAATACATGGAAATATGAACAAAACATGTGTTATTAAATCATATATTTTAATATAATTTAATCTAAATAAAATCTCTTACTGTTCAAATAATGCTTCTAAATTCTGTTTTAAAATTTAGTGTTGTTGAATGAATAATTTAAATTTAGTTTTATTATTTAATTTTTAAAGATTCTAAAATTCTTTGTATTTTGAATTGATTTTAAATTATTTTGAATAGATTCCCATGAACAAATAACTAAATTCAAAATCCAAGGTATACTACCGATATTTTAGAATCTATCAACTTAATTTTTGTAAAATTTTAAATTTTGATAAATTACAAAACATTAATAATTGATTTAAAAACACTCATTGAATAACACTTTCTAGAGAAAGAAACGTTTTCATTAATTAATTTTTTTGAACCAATCTATTCTATTAAAAGAGAAGTCATGACTCACTTCATGTGTGATATTTTAGTTTGGACCATCTTTAGAGTTTTATAAAATTTTACATAACATTATAATATCTTTTCATATCTTTAATTTTTTTTGTTTGAAATACAAATAAATAGTTTTAAGAAAACTCTAACAAAATCTTTTAGAATCTTTTTCAAGATATAGTTTCAAAAATTATTTGATTAAAATCTTAATATCATAAAATATAATTAAAATTTTAATTCATTTTTAATTTATAAACAAAAAATTGAAATTATGTAAAATACTTTTAACAATATCCCAAAATTTTGTTTATGTATTATGTAGGTCCAACTTAATTAATTTTTACATAGATTTCAAATTTAGAAATAAAACAAAATATATAAATTAGTAATCTTACATAATAATTAAATTATTACAAANAAATTGAAATTATGTAAAATACTTTTAACAATATCCCAAAATTTTGTTTATGTATTATGTAGGTCCAACTTAATTAATTTTTACATAGATTTCAAATTTAGAAATAAAACAAAATATATAAATTAGTAATCTTACATAATAATTAAATTATTACAAAAATACAAATTTATAAATTTTATATTAATAATATTATAAGTCATATAAAAATTATTATAAAATTGGATAGCATACAGAATCAAATTATACATATTTATTGATAAATTTTATTATATAATTTCAAATATGTTTGTATTAAAATACCCGCACGGTTGTGCGGGTTGAAATCTAGTTGTTTTCATTAAATTCTTATAATATTTGTTCTCACCTAATAAATATCTTGACGAATCAATAGTTGTCAAAAAAAAAATATATATATATCTTGACGAATCTCCTTGCGTCTCGTCGTCTGCCCCTTTGCGTCCCCATCTCTCTCTCTCTCTAGAACCAGTCAAATTGATTGTAACGTCCTCGTCCTTCTCTCTTTGACTCCTCTTTTGAAATTCTAGTCATCAATTTAGGGCTCCCGATCTTTTCTCCTCACTTTCCTTTCCCCTTCTTCTTCTTTCGGTTTCCTTTTCCGTCTCCAATTTTTTTTTCGAAATTTGAATTCCCTTTCCTAATTAGATTTCAAAATCTCATCATGATCTCTGCTTTTATCAGATCTTAAAAAAAAAAAAATAATTATCTTCGTAGATAAGCTATACATAATAGTTGTGGTGGGATCGGGCTTAGGGTTTACGATGGTGGGAACTCAAGCTGTTAAAAGCTATGGAATCACGAAGCCTCTCTCTCTTTCTGGTCCTTCCGCCGCTGATTTGAAGCGTAATTCGGAGCTGGAGAAGGTTATCATCACTCTCTCTCTTTTGTGTGTGTTTGCTTTGATTTTGGCTGATTTTGTTGTTTTGTTGTTAGTTTCTGGTTGATGAGGGTCTCTACGAGAGCAAGGAGGAAACTATGCGGAGAGAGGAAGTTCTTGGACGCATTGATCAGGTTCGAATTGGCTCTCAACTTTGCTTTGTTTTTGCTGTTTTTAAGCTCTGATCTTACCATTTCATGTGTAGATTGTAAAAGACTGGGTGAAAGAGTTGACTCATCAGAGAGGATATTCAGATCAGATGGTGGAGGACGCTAATGCTCTCATTTTCACTTTTGGATCTTATCGCCTTGGAGTAAGTGAAGTTGTTGTGGTTTACTTGGATTATAGATCTTCCTTTTAGTATCGTATTGGTCTCTGCATTACTAGTATTTGAGTCTTGTTTTTTTTTTTTTTTTGAATTTTCAGGTACATGGACCTGGGGCTGATATTGATACTTTGTGTGTTGGTCCATCTTATGTCAACCGAGAGGTGACTCTTGTTCTAGGCTGATATTGATATTGATACTGATGCATAGGTCTGGCAGATTGTTTAACAGGTTTTTCTCTTGCAGGAGGATTTCTTCATCATCTTGCGTGATATATTGGCTGAGATGGAAGAAGTGACTGACCTTCAACCTGTTACCGATGCTCATGTCCCGGTCATGAAATTTAAGTTCCAAGGAATATCTATCGATCTTCTGTATGCTAGCGTATCACTTCTTGTTGTGCCACAGGTAATTTTCAATATTAGCCTCTTTCTCTTTCCCCTCAAACTTAGGGGTGACTAGTGATAGTTTTATGTTATGCTATCTTGATTTAGTTTGGTGGGTTTCCTGCTTCTGTTGCGTGTTGTGCCCTACTCTTCGGCCTAGCCAAAGTTCATATTTTCTTGCTGAGTCAGATCCCTTGTTCGTAACAGGATCTGGATATCTCCGACTCTTATGTGCTGTCTAATGTTGATGAGCAAACTGTCCGCAGTCTCAATGGTTGTAGGGTTGCTGATCAGATTCTTAAACTCGTTCCAAATTTCGAGGTAAAATCAGTTGAATGCCAGTTTTATTTGGTAAATTGACTAATACACTTTGTAAGCCATATCTGACATTTATTTGCAAATGTAGCACTTCCGAACTACATTAAGATGCATAAAGTACTGGGCTAAGAGGCGTGGGGTTTATTCAAATGTAAGGTGTTTTCTTTCTGAATATTACATCTATTGACAAAAACGTTCAAACTCTTGTCATCTCTATTATTTTGAGCAGGTTACTGGTTTTCTTGGTGGTGTAAACTGGGCACTTCTGGTTGCACGCCTGTGCCAGCTTTATCCAAATGCTATTCCCAGTATGTTGGTTTCTCGATTCTTTAGAGTATATACGCAATGGCGTTGGCCGAATCCAGTCATGCTTTGTGCAATAGAAGAGGATGAGCTTGGGATTCCTGTCTGGGATCCACGAAAATATCACCGTGATCGCTATCATCTTATGCCAATAATAACTCCTGCTTACCCATGCATGAATTCTAGTTACAATGTCTCTCAAAGCACTCTTCGGGTTATGATGGAGCAATTCCAGTATGGTAACAAGATTTGTCAGGTGAGGGAGACAATTTTGTTTATTAACAGTATCCTCAGATTCTGTTGCTAAACACCATTTTGTCTGTAGGAGATTGAGTTAAATAAACAACACTGGAGTTCCTTATTTGAGCAATATATGTTCTTCGAGGCATATAAAAACTACCTTCAGGTTGATGTACGAGCTGCTGATGCAGAAGATTTGTTGGCTTGGAAAGGTTGGGTGGAGTCAAGGTTCCGGCAGCTGACCTTGAAGGTATATAGCCTTATGTTTCCTTTGATGTTCAAGAGTACACTTTTAGTGTCTTCAACGTGCTCTCTAATTTTCTTACCAGTAAAAATTTCAAGAACTGAAGGGTTTGTGTTCTCTTTTTAAATCCAATAATGCAGATAGAACGAGACACAAATGGGTTGTTAATGTGCCATCCTCAACCAAATGAGTATGTGGACACTTCCAAGCAGTTTCAGCATTGTGCTTTTTTCATGGGCTTGCAAAGGGCAGAAGGAGTTGGTGGCCAAGAGTGTCAACAGTTTGATATACGTGGAACCGTGGATGAGTTCAGACAAGATGTAAACATGTATATGTTTTGGAGACCTGGGATGGACGTATTTGTTTCTCATGTTCGTAGACGGCAGCTTCCACCTTTTGTTTTTCCAAACGGGTCTAAAAGGTTTCGGCAATCCAAGCACCAGAATCAACAAGGCGGAGAACCTGGTGAGCCGGTTGAATCTTTGTCCGCCAATGTTGAGAGACATGCAAAGAGAAAAAACGACAATGAAATGATGGATACAAGGCCAGAGAAACCTGAGAAGCGTGCATCTGTTAGTCCGCCTAGTGTAGATGTTGTTTCTCCTGAAAGTAATGCTATCACAACTGGGACTCCTCCGATTGGTATTGTGTCAGGTACTAAAGCCGAATGCTTAATAACTAATGATCTTGGTTGCTCCATCCCTAATGTGGAAGTTGAGGCTGAAAAAATGATTAGTAACAGCACTGAAATCACAGATGCTTCTCAAAATGGGCATAACTCTGGTTGCGAGCAAAACCTGGAAGTGGATAATAGGGCTCTAGTTCAAGGCTGTCATGACCTTGCTGAGCCTGTAGGAAAAGATGTGAGACCTGATCCTAGTGTTGTGGTAACATATGACGAGGGGCAGAATAAAGAAACAGGTCGTGTTGTGGATTCTAAATCCATCAATGACACTGACACACAACCTCTTTCAAGGAGACTACATCTGAAAGAGGATGTTAATAAAGTTGAGAGTGAATCCATGTCAGGAGAAATTGCTGATGGTGTTTTGCAGAATGGATTATGTGGGCGGGACATTGATCACGAGGTGAGTTTTCCTATACGATGATTATAGTATAAAACTCGTAACAAATTGGGAATAAAAAATGTCTTGAACCTACTAGTCTTTGCTGTCATCATGGTTGTTACAGGGTTATTTGGCTACTGCAAATTTGGATTCATCTGTGGAACATAGAAGCTTGCATTCGGATGGATTGTTCAAAAGTGGTTTGTCAGAAGAACTTCAGGTTTTTAATTCCAACTCTTGTCATTTGGCATTAGGTTTATTCTTGTGTAGAATTTTTGCGTTTGGTAGCCTGTTTAAGATTTATTATCTATGATTTTATTATTGATAGATTGCGCATTGACAGATCCTTACCTCCATGCTTTATTATGTTGCATCTACTTTAAAAAAAATTCACTTCTCGCCTTGCTTATAAATTTCTTTTTTTTTTCGTGTCTTAGTCAAATAATTTACTCATGGGGATGGGGAGGCCGGCAGACGGAGCTAGGTCAGAATCTTTGCAGAATTCACTGATGAGGCATGTGCTTTTGCAACCCAATGTTAATATATGCCAATCATGATCTCTTTATGCTCTTGTTTTGGTGTTTTGTTGCTACTTTTTGTAGCAGCAACAGATTGGGCTTGAAGTCGATAGTGTGAGGGTCTCAGCAATCGTAATGAGAGCCTGCAAATAAAGAAAAGGTTAAAGACCAAAAAAAAAACACAAAAATAAATAAGAATCAGAGCAACGCACTGTTGCTTTGGATTGCAGCTTCCAGGATTCGACACTCACTGGTAAGCACTCCTAAATTAGAAAAAAAAAAGCTTAAAAAGGAGGAAAAAAAGATTTAGAAAATCCAAAAAGATAAAAGAAAAAGGAAAAAAATGACAACTTTCAAATGATTTTGTTTGTTTGGGGGCGAGTATCCAAACTCTTGGATGGAAAGGCCATGCCTTGTTCAATGCTCTAGGAGGAGTTGGTTGGGAGAGTGAGGTGTGGAGCTTTTGCTGGTTCAATGCTTTTTGTCTGAGAGTTGCAAATTGCAGAGAATCAGTGAGGTCGCCATGAAAGAAGGCAAGTGAGTTGTATCTGTTTGCCTTTTTACAGGGTATTTCAGACTCTTCTTTTATGTATTTTATATGCTTTCAGAAGATTGGAATCTTTCAATGTTATATGATTATCTGCATAAAACTGTTTGTTGCAACTCTTCTTTCATGATAGACCCATTACTAATCAGTAATCACCAATTGTCATCTTAATGTCTCTTTTTTTTTTTTGTCAACATCATCTCAATGTCTCATATATATACAAGTGATTTGTTGTGCACCGGTCAACTTGTTATACTATGTTGACGCTGGCACGGTTACGTTGATATTAGAATGTTCGAAACTAACCTACGCTTAGGATATAGACTGGACTGGATGGCGAAGTGGCTTGAGTACTTTTTTACAACAACATCTAACAACTTCAGCAAATCAGTGAGTGGAATGCGGAACTGAACATAGGAGCAGGGTTCATGTGTGTATAAAACAGAGGCAAGAATATTTTGGGAAATTGCATCCAATAACATTTAAAATAAAACCAAAATTGATGAAGTAACCAAAAAGACACTCTCTCTCCCCTTATGTGTTCCTATCTCTCTCTACCATCTCTCTAGAAAACTAATTTTGCTTTTTTTTAGGTTATTTAACAAATAAGCCCGAATATTTTCTTCAAAAAGTTGAGAGGGGTTAAAACTTAAAACGTAAAGAAAAAACAATTTTTTTGGTTTTATAAATTTGGGTTTTATAAATCGGCAGAACCTTTGTAGACCAAAGTAACCCAAATCCTATGATGTTACTTGGGTCGGATCCAAAGCTTTAATTGTAGGAATCGGATACTATCGTTGTTTATTACCGCATTTCCCCCGTCTTCTCAATCCATCTATCCATCAACAATGGCGTCGTCCCATTGCACGATGAGAGGTGCTGCTGTTGGAGTACTCCTCCTCAGATTCTCCTCTAATGGCGTCGTCTCTTCCAGATCCATTCTAAACTCCAGAAGTAACCATCATCGTCTCCTCACCATCCCCAACTCCCTCTCCTCTCTCTCCTCAATCTCCACTCACACCACTTCCAACTTCACCACTCCCTCACATGCATATGAGCAGAACTCCACCAAGCGTCAAGTCAGAAAGATTTGGATCTCTTCTCCTCTCTGTATGGGTCGTCGCTCTTCCAAAATCGCTGGCCGAAAGGTCCGCTTCACAGTTCCAAATTTGTTGAATTAATTATAAGTCCTTTACTACTGATTACTGTTAATTGTTTCACGAATAATCAATTTAGAAGTTTGGAATAATCAATTTAGAGGTTTCTAGAGCTTGTAATTGTTGATGCCTACCACTTGTTCGATGAAATGTCTCTGAGTAGGTTTGGTCATAGGTGTTGCACAAAAGAAGCTTGAGACAGAGAATGTGTTTTAGAACTTTTAGCTTGATGTTTCTGTTGAACACAGGTTATAAATGATTATAAGTGCTTCACTACTGATTATAAATGATTTCTCAATTCTGAACTTTGTAATTGTTAATGCATACTACTTGTTCGATGAAATGTCTTTGAGTAGGTTTGGTCATAGGAGCTATAGAAACTTGATTCTTGAAGTTTCTGTTGAATACAGGGGGCTCAAGATTCAAAGAAGGCTAAGCTATACTGTAGAATTGGCAAGGAGGTTGTATCAGCGTAAGTCTTTTAACCTTTTCTTTTTTCATTTCTCTGTGTTTAGTTTGTTGGATTCAACTTCTTGTTTGTGAGTTTCATGACAAAAGAGGATCATTTGTTTTTTTTTTTCTTATTATCACTCAGTGTCAGGAAAGGGGGTCCAAACCCAGTGTCCAATACAGTTCTAGCTACCATACTTGAGAAAGCAAAAGACCTTGATGTACCCAAGGACATTGTGGAGCGTAATATTAAAAGAGCTTCTGAGAAGGGCCAAGAAGATTTCATCGAGAAGATCTATGAGGTTTATGTTTTATGTTTTCGTGAGTCCAATTAAGTTTTGATGACTCTGAAATAAACTCTTCTCTTATGGTTTAGGTATATGGGTATGGTGGAGTTAGTATGGTAGTGGAGGTCTTAACAGACAAAATTAATCGATCAGTGGCAGCTGTTAGATCAGTTGTTAAGGATTATGGAGGCAAAATGGCTGATTCAGGATCTGTCATGTTCAAGTTTAGACGAGTTAGGGTCGTCAACATTAAGGTCACCGAGGCTGACAAAGACCAGCTCTTTATTATTGCTCTGGATGCTGGAGCTGAGGATGTTATTGATCCCCCAAGTTATGAAGATGATACTGATGAAGATAGGGAAGAAAGGTATGTATACACTTTAAAAGTCCAGTTTCTCAGCACTTTACAATTTTTATGTTTTTGTTATATATTGTTTCTTGTCTGTACAATTGTTCAGGTACTACAAAATTGTAACTTCTAATGAGAACTACTCAACAGTGTTGTCGAAGCTACGTGATGAAGGAGTCAACTTTGAGCCTGACAATGGCTCTGAACTGCTCCCTCTGACTACAGTTGAGGTAGTGAACCTTTGCCCTGTTCTGTTTCCTCTGTGCTATAACCTTTTCATTATGTCTAATACTGATATACTAGAAGAAGTGATCCCTTGTTCTTTCATTTAAACTTGTCTTTCCCCTCAAATAAGAGTCACCCTTAACAGTATTCATCAGTCATTCGCTGGGAAATCTGATTACTGGGGTTGTTGCAGGTGGATGATGAGGCCATGGAACTGAACAGAGAGCTTATGCAGAAACTACTTGAACTTGATGATGTTGACGCTGTTTACATTGACCAAAAATGAACAATACATTACAGGAAGTTTCACTTCAGGTCAATCTCGGAACTGGTTTTTGTTCAAGTCTGCATATATTGTGAAGAAGGAATGGTGAATTGGTGATGATTCTGGAACACACTTTACGATTCACTTCTTCTAGTTTCCATTTTGAAGCTACAAAATCACAGATGTTACCTTGTAATTCTTAATACTCTTTCTCTTGATCATAGACTGACTGTTCACATAACTTCTTCTGTAGTCACTCTTTCTTAACTGATGGATGGCCCCTGACAGAACTTTAGCTTCAAATCAAACACTTTTCACGTCACGAGAACGACAAAAAAATCTCATCCCTCTGAAAGATTGAGAAGTGTAAAGAGGGATGAGAACGAGGGATTTTTCTCTGACAAGTTCACCCTTAAATTTATTAATTACAAAATATCATTTTTGCTAGCCGTCGAACAAAATTTTAGGTTTCATAAACAAACAAAAAATAAATCATTTTCTGCTTCGATTCACCAATAATGAAGAAATCTGAAAATATTTAAGTAATGTGTCGTGGGTTTCTCTCACTCGTTCGCTTTAGCTTCAATTTCAAAGTAATTAGAAGATCTGAGGAGAAAATAGCTATGTTTCCACTGTTTGGATGTGACCATCCCTAAATATTCTGTTCCGTGTTTGAAAGACATGTTAGATGGTCCGTATATAGCCAATTATTAATTCACCTCCGCAAGAGCGTGGCAGAAGTTTCCCTATAATGTTTAAGAACTATCTTAAGAGGAGAAGTTTGGTGCTATCAACTATGTCTGGGGCAGAAGGATGGAGCCCTCTGCAAGAAGAATCAATTATAGATTTTGTATTGAGCGAAGACAGCTATGATGATGATGATGATGAATATGAAACACAAATTTGCCATAACCTGTTGTGGCTGCACGTAACGAGATTCTTGCAAAGAACTGAAGAAGAATCAATTGATGAAACAGACCATGGAGCGCGAGCGCGCATGTATCATAGAGCCTGTGATTGACATCCTCAGTGATTTGTATTAGGGAATCCTATTGTGATAAGGATTACCTATTGATAAGTCCTATTATGTTAACGTTTACTTATATCTTAGAGATAAATACGAGTAGAAGTAGGAGTTTATAGTCGGTGGTTATTCATGTATATAAGCGGATGTAATACCTTCAAGCAATACAAGTTAAAAGTTTATTGTTCAATCTCTACTTTACATGGTATCAGAGCAATAACCTTCTTGAGACCTAAATATTTTTCTATTACCACATCAAGTTCGATGGCTGGTGGAGAAGAGTCTTCTGCAAGTAAGAGCAGTGATCTAGTTGATCAAAGTAATGTAACCACCGTGAGTGCAACTCCATACTCGTTGTATGCCTCAGACAATCCCGGTGCGTTAATCACTTCGGTCGTGTTTACCGGAGAGAATTATAATGAGTGGTCTACGGAGTTAACCAACGCCTTGAGAGCTAAAAGAAAATTAGGGTTTATCGATGGAACAATACCTAAACCCTCCATTGATGATCCGAAATTTGAGCTCTGGTCTTCGGTTAATTCCATGATTGTAGGCTGGATCCGTTCTTCTATAGAAGCAAAGGTTCGGTCAACAGTCACGTTTATGTCTGATTCCCATAAACTTTGGGAAAATTTGAAGAAGCGTTTCTCAGTGGGAAACAAAGTTAGAGTTCATCATCTGAAAGAACAACTGGCATCTTGTAAACAAGGTGGTCAATCAGTGATGGAGTACTATGGACGTTTAGCAAAGATGTGGGAGGAGCTAGACATGTATAAGCCTCTTCCAGCTTGCAGTTGCAGTGCTTCTGCAGAATATGAGAAAGAAAGAGATGAAGAGAAAGTGCATCAGTTCGTTATGGGACTTGATGAATCTCGGTTTGGGGGAGTTTGTCAAGGAATTATATCGAGTGATTCCTTAGTTGATCTTGGAGAAGCTTATGCTAAAGTCATTAGAGAAGAACAGAGACTTGCTTCGTCCAAGGAAAGAGAAGTTCAGCAAAGTGCAGTTGGCTTCGTTGCAAAGAAAGATCAAGTTGACTTATCTGCGCGACGATCTTTACAGTGTTCTCATTGCAGTCGTAAGGGACATGATAAGGCTAATTGCTGGCAACTAGTTGGGTTTCCGGATTGGTGGGAAGAGCGCTCAAGTAAACAAGAGAACAGAGGTGTTCCAAACAACAGAGGGCGTGGTTCTTCATCTTCTGATCGAGGAAGAAACAGTGCACCTAAAGCTCACAATGCTCACGCAACTACCTCCAATGATTCTACTTTTCCCATGTTCACAGAGGAGCAACTAAAAGCTCTTACGCAGTTATTAAATGAGAGAACCAAGTCATCTTCCGATAAGTTGTCCGGTAAGCCATATGGAGATCTCATTCTAGACACGGGGGCATCTCACCATATGACTGGAGAGCTCTCGTTTCTTACCAATGTTTCTAGTATTGCCCCGTGCCCAGTGGGATTTGCAGATGGAAACAAGACGTTTGCTACACATGTTGGCGTATTCCATCTCTCCAAGAACATAACACTGTCTAAAGTGTTATTTGTTCCAAATCTCAACTGCTCTCTCATATCAGTGTCCAAGCTTTTACGTCAAACAAATTGCTTTGCATTACTAACTGATACACTGTGTATTTTACAGGATCGTTTCANATGGGGTTTATTATTTCAAGGATGTCATGGCTGCTAGAGTTCATGTTGCTGAAAAGACTGTTAAAGAGGTTGATCAGTATCGTTGGCACCAGAGGCTAGGGCATCCGGCTTTTTCAGTGTTGAGTTTATTACCTTTGTCGTTTTCTACTAATAAGTCGTTAGCTCACAGTCCTTGTGACACATGTTTTCGAGCAAAACAGACAAGAGAAGTTTTTTATCAAAGTTTGAATAAAACAAATGAGTGTTTTGAGATGATTCACTGTGACGTTTGGGGACCTTATAGAGTACAATCCTCCTGTGGAGCACGGTATTTTTTAACTATTGTGGATGATTTCTCAAGAACAGTTTGGACCTATTTGCTACTTGAGAAATCAGAAGTGAAAACAGTGCTTCAAAACTTCTGTGCTATGGCGTTGAAACAGTTTAATAAAGAAGTTAAGACAGTTCGCAGTGACAACGGCACAGAGTTTATGTGTCTGGCTGGATTTTTTCGTGAAAAAGGTATCATCCATCAAACTTCGTGTGTAGCTACTCCACAGCAAAACGGACGGGTTGAGAGGAAACATAGACACATACTCAATGTGGCCAGATCATTACTATTTGAAGGAAATATGCCTATTAAATTTTGGGGAGAGGCCATACTTACAGCATCTCATCTCATCAATAGAACACCATCATCAGTACTCAACAATGCATCTCCTTATGAGTTATTATATGGAGTCAAACCATCGTATGAGCATCTTAGAGTTTTTGGGAGTTTATGTTTTGTTCATATGAAGTCAAGAGCCAAGGATAAATTCGGGTCAAGAAGTAGAAGATGTGCATTCGTTGGGTATCCTTTCACTCAGAAAGGATGGAAAGTATTTGACCTGGAAACAGAGGAGTTTCTTATCTCACGTGATGTTGTCTTCAAAGAAACAGAATTTCCGTTTGCGTCTCAGTCACCAGTCCCAGCAACAAATCAGTTACCTCCACAAGTTATAATAGATGATGACTGGGAGATTACACGAATATTTCCCATTCAAAACAGGGGGAGTACTTCGTTGGTTAGTAACCAACCTTCAACCTCTAGTGGCAATTCTCAAACAGAGACGTCTATTCCCATACAAGATCAGACATCACCCTCTACTACTCAACCGGATACAACAACGACAACTCGGAATATCTCAGAAGTTGTCCCAGTGGCTACAGAGGCTGTAAATAATCCAGTTTCATGTGAAACATCTGGACGTGGTCAACGAGTAAAAGTTCCATCGGTAAAGCTCAAGGACTATGTCACATACAATGCTGTTACTCTTCAAGACCCATCTCTCTCACCTCCCTGTTCTGCATCTTCGTCATCTCGTAACGATCCAGGTAAGACACCTTATCCTCTGAATGATTATGTGTCTGACCTCAAATTCTCTGTTTCTCATCAAGCATACTTAGCTGCTGTTACCGCTGGAGTAGAACCACGATCGTATTCAGAAGCTATTAAAGATAAAGTATGGAGAGACTCTATGAAACTTGAAGTAAACGCACATGAAGAACTCGGTACATGGGAGTTAGCAACACTTCCTCCTGGCAGACGAGCCATTGCGTCAAAGTGGGTACATCGCATCAAATACAATGCAGATGGTACCGTTGAACGTCACAAATCGCGACTTGTAGCCTGTGGAAATCGACAAGTTGCAGGTGATGATTATGGAGAGACATTTGCTCCTGTTGTCAAGATGGCCACCGTTCGAAGTTTGCTAAGTCTTGTTGCAGCAAAAGGTTGGGAAGCTCATCAAATGGACGTCCACAATGCTTTCCTCCACGGTGATCTCGATGAAGAAGTTTATATGCGCTTACCTCCTGGCTTTTCTCATTCTGATCCGCGTAAAGTCTGTAGGTTGCGTAAAGCTATATACGGCTTGAAGCAAGCCCCACGTTGCTGGTTTGCCAAGCTATCAAATGCACTACTCAAGTTTGGTTTTGTGCAAGCTCATTCAGATTATTCATTATTTACATACACCAAAGGAGCCAAAGAAGTTCGGGTTCTGGTTTATGTCGATGATTTGGTCATTGCAAGTAATGATCTTGCATTACTCACTAAGTTCAAGACCTACCTTGGTGAATGCTTCCGCATGAAAGATCTAGGAAAATTAAAATATTTCTTGGGTATTGAAGTTGCAAGAGCTGATCAAGGGATTTTTCTTTCCCAACGAAAATATACATTAGATATCGTTGCGGACTGTGGCTTACTTGGTGCTAAACCGGTATTTATCCCAGTTGAACAGAATCATCATTTAGCCACTGATACTGGACCTTTGTTTGCAGACCCAAAGAAGTACAGACGCCTAGTAGGACGTCTTGTGTACTTATCTATTACGCGTCCAGAACTGTGTTATGCGATCCACTTGCTATCTCAGTTCATGAAGTCCCCACGCGTTGTTCATTGGGAAGCTGCTATCCGTGTGGTTAGATTTCTGAAAGGGTGTCCAGGACAGGGTATTTTGTTGAGCTCAGATTGTTCTCTTCAGCTTTCAGTCTATGTAGATGCAGACTGGAGTGCTTGTCCTCTTACTCGTCGGTCTTTAAGCTCTTATGTTGTGCTACTTGGAGGGAATCCGATATCTTGGAAAACAAAGAAGCAGAAAACAGTTTCACATTCTTCCGCTGAAGCAGAATACCGCGCAATGGCTGCAGCAACTAAGGAGCTAAAATGGATAGTTCCTTTAATGAAAGAACTTGGCATTCCTATTGCCAAACCGGTACCTTTCTACTGTGATAGTAAGGCAGCAATTCATATTGCAGCCAATCCAGTTTTTCACGAACGCACAAAGCATATTGAGAGAGATTGTCATTGTGTTCGTGATGCAGTTAAAGCTCGTCTGATTTCTACTACACATGTTCGTACTAAAGACCAAATAGCTGACATACTCACTAAAGCTCTGGGGCGTTCACAGTTTGAGTTTCTCTCTTCCAAGTTGGGTGTTCAAGACTTTCACTCTCCAACTTGAGGGGGAGTATTAGGGAATCCTATTGTGATAAGGATTACCTATTGATAAGTCCTATTATGTTAACGTTTACTTATATCTTAGAGATAAATACGAGTAGAAGTAGGAGTTTATAGTCGGTGGTTATTCATGTATATAAGCGGATGTAATACCTTCAAGCAATACAAGTTAAAAGTTTATTGTTCAATCTCTACTTTACAATTTGCCTGGAGTGAGGAAGTGGTCTCCGTTTTATTTCGCAGCCCTTGATTATTTGCTAGCCACTAGCATAGACAGGGTTTTGTAGCGTTTTCTAGTGTTGAAGAAAATATTTGCTATTTAGACACATGATGGGAAGAAAACTTGATGTTTTTTTGAAGCTTATGATGACTTTTGGTTTATGTTTGGGCGTATATGGCCTTTATGTTGTTGACGATCATCTTAGATTATTATGGCTTTGGTTTATGTTACCCTTGTCTCACGTCTATTTAGTATTTAGTGCATGACTTATTTTTACTTGCTTTATGAATGTAACGTCATGAGTAAAGTAGCAATAGCCATTTAACGCCAGGTAGCAAGTTATATAACTATGGAAACACTATGAACTGAATAAGAGATTTAATTTGCCATACTAAAATTCTAAATAATTTAACAATAAAACAAAACTCTTAAAAACTCTTTACAAAAAATCTCTTAAATTATTAAAATCAGCAAACTCTATATGAATACAACTCCCACAAACCTTCCATTTTCTGCCAACAATTTGTGTTCAACTTATTCGGAATTAAAAACTATTTTGGAAGTAGTTTCTGATCGGTTCTGCATCACAATTGCAATTTAACCCAAACCCCGGTTTAGTGTCTAAACTCATCGATCCGCTTCTTCTCTCTCCTGAGAAAATTCTTCTACCGTAAAGATCTCACAGGCGCAGAGTTTGCAGGCCGCCGCGTCAGGTTATAATACTCTCCTTATAATCTTCTGTAATTTCTCGCGAACTTTGCTCGTAAAGGCAATTTCATGAGACTTTTTTCCGCAAATGTAAATTTTTAAGAGTCGCACACCAGGTGTTCGCTAAAATGCCCGACTGAACTTTAAAGATAAAACACAATCTCTTACCATTGCTTGATAACATTCTTCCCTATAGGTTGGTTGCATTACTGCATAGGATGCTGTTATAGTCATGAGTAGAATCGTCAAACACCCTGTCATCGCTCTTTTGGATTCCGGCACTACGTTCAAAGAAGTACGCCAAATCCATGCCAAGCTCTTGATCAACGGGACACTCAACGATGACCATCTCGTGGGTCAGTTCGTAAAGTCAGTAGCTTTGAGTGATCAGAAACACTTACACTACGCTAATCAGATCCTGGACAGGTCTGCTAAACCTACACTGTTTGCTCTCAACTCTATGATCAGAGCACATTGCAAAAGCCTTGTTCCAGAGAAAAGCTTCGATTTTTATAAAAAGATACTTCGGTCCGACCTTAAACCGGATAACTACACTCTCAACTTCTTGGTTCAGGCCTGCTCTGGGATAGGTATGCGTGAGACAGGGCTTCAGGTTCACGCTACGACCCTAAGACGCGGTTTTGACAATGACCCTCATGTCCAAACCGGGTTGGTTTCTTTGTATGGTGAGCTAGGGTGTTTGGATTCTTGCCATAAGGTGTTTGACTCGGTTCCTTGTCCGGATTTCGTGTGTCGGACGGCGATGGTCACGGCCTGTGCGAGATGCGGGGATGTGGGTTTTGCGAGGAAGTTGTTTGAGGAGATGCCGGAGAAAGACCCTGTTTCTTGGAACGCTATGATCTCTGGCTATGCTCAGGTTGGAGAGTCGAGGGAGGCTCTGGACTTGTTTCATTTGATGCAGTTGGAAGGTGTGAAAGTCAACGCGGTGTCGATGATTTCGGTTTTGTCGGCTTGTACTCAGTTGGGAGCTTTGGATCAGGGGAGATGGGCTCATTCATACATAGAGAGAAACAGAATCAAAATCACTGTGAGGCTTGGTACTACCTTGGTCGACTTGTACGCGAAATGTGGTGACATGGACAAGGCTATGGAGGTTTTCTGGGGTTTGGAAGAGAGGAATGTGTACACGTGGAGTAGTGCCCTGAATGGGTTTGCAATGAATGGGTTCGGGGAGAAATGTCTGGAGCTTTTCTCTCTTATGAAACGAGAGGGTGTTGCTCCAAACGCTGTCACGTTCGTCTCTGTTTTAAGAGGTTGCAGTGTGGTTGGTTTGGTAGATGAAGGGCAGAGACATTTTGATTCCATGAGGGATGAGTTTGGGATTGAGCCTCAGCTTGATCACTACGGCTGCTTAGTTGATTTGTATGCTCGTGCTGGCCGCTTAGAAGACGCAGTCAGTATAATCCACCAAATGCCCATGAAGCCTCACGCTGCTGTTTGGAGTTCTGTGCTCCACGCATCTAGAATGTACAAGAACCTTGAACTTGGTGTGCTCGCATCTAAAAAAATGCTTGAGCTAGAGACTACAAATCACGGGGCTTACGTCATGTTATCAAACATCTATGCAGATTCAGACAATTGGGACAACGTTAGTCATGTTAGACAGTCGATGAAATCTAGAGGAGTTAGAAAGGAACCAGGGTGCAGTGTAATGGAGGTTAATGGAGAAGTCCATGAGTTCTTTGTGGGAGATAAATCACACCCGAGATATACAGAGATTGAGGCGTTTTGGAAGGAGATCTCTAGGAGGCTGAGACTTGCTGGGTATAAAGCAGACACGAGCCCTGTTATGTTTGACATAGATGAAGAAGAGAAAGAGGATGCCTTGTGTCTGCATAGCGAAAAGGCAGCGATTGCGTTTGGTATAATGAGTTTGAAAGATGATGTTCCTATTAGGATCGTGAAGAACCTTCGAGTTTGTGGTGATTGTCATCAGGTTTCTATGATGATCTCCAAGATTTTTGACAGAGAGATCATTGTGAGAGATAGAAATAGGTTCCACCATTTCAAAGACGGTCACTGTTCTTGCAATGGCTTTTGGTGAATCTTGGTTTGATATTTTATGTACTTTTAATTCATCCGAATGTGTTATACTTTCGATAAACTGGAACTTGATAAATTTAAGATTACAAAGAGATACATCTTGAAATGTACCAAAGAGATACATCATTAGTGATGAGCTTGATAAGTTTGTAACGTGCATAGCATTCAATTTAGGAATGGTTGCTCGTCATCGGCGAGTGGGGCAACTGAACGGTCAATGAGGACGTTTTCGTAGATGAATCCGGCAAGTCCACCACCGATCAACGGTCCAACCCAATATACCCAATGGTCAGTCCAGTTTCCAGAGACCAAAGCAGGTCCAAATGATCTGGCCGGGTTCATTGAGGCTCCGGAGAAGGCACCACCAGCAAGGATGTTGGCTCCCACGACGAATCCGGTCAGAAGTGGGCCTAGACCATCAAGGGAGCCTTTCTTGGGATCCACCATCGTGGCGTAGACAGTGAAGAGAAGTGAGAACGTCAAGATGATCTCCCATATGATCCCCTGAGTGTAACTTATTCCACTTGCCAATGTGTGAACCGGAGTTCCCTAATCACAAAGAGTAATAATGTCAAACTAGGTTAAAATGCATTATTTTTTTAAAACGTTTTGTATGTACATAGCATATCTTGAATTGAGATATTTAAAAGGTATTTAACAAAATCCTTATATAATATAGTTTTTAATATTTTGGTTCCTAGTGTCAATTAAAAATACTAAAGAATAGAACCATGTGAAATATAAATTATTGCACTCCATCCTAACATGTATGTTACTACGTACTTACTAGTAGGCGTTTAAATATATGAATTAGTGATTAATTAATTTTGGCAATATAAAATTAGATTACGTACCATTCCTCCGGTGAGGTAACTTAGGAGGAAGCAGGCTGCAGAGGAGGCCAACAGCTGATCAATCCAATAGAGAAATGCGCGGAAGACGCTTATGTGACCTCCAAAAAGTAGGCCAATGGTGACAGCGGGGTTGAGATGGCCACCGGAGATATGGCCCGCAGATATCATTACCGCCACCACAAAGGCATGAGCCACCGCGACCGCTAGAAGTCCCACCAATGTGTTTCCGACATAGCTATCTATATATCATGAATGTAATATAAGCAACATAAGTCATAGATTTGAGATGCAGAATGGATTTAAATGCCAATATAAATTGACTTAGATTTGCTTGTACATAGCCAGTAACTAACTTGGTATGAAATTGTAAGAAAGAACATGAAATGTGATGTAAAATATTTACCGACGGCCATGGCGGATCCGACACCGGCAAAAACAAAGAAAAAGGTGGTGATGAATTCGACAATGAGAGCTTTGATGCAGTCTGGCTGAGCTGCCTCGCGGTGGTTCCCTAAGTCGATCTTCTTCATGGTTTTGGAGTAAATTTTTAAAATTCTAAAGCAGAAATATTCTTGGATGGTTCTGGTTGATGTAGAACGTTAATACATGGAGCGGCTTATAATGAGTTCATTTGGTCAAACAAAATAAATTGAGACATGAGAAGAAAATGCTATCGGAGCACATGGACACAATTATTGTATGATAAATGATTGATTTGAGTCGAAAGTTGACTTGTATAATGTTCTTGAGTGAGATATGAGATGTATCACTTTCTTTAACATATCGTTTTTTTTTTGGAATTAGGTAACCGTTTGAGTCATGCTACACATTACAGTGCTCTGATTGGTGTCCTTAAAGGGTGGTACAGATTGTACCATTTTCTTATTTGTTGTTTTCTTTCAGTATTACCGAAAATATAGGGACAAGTATTTTAGAGGAAGGTCTCGTCACTAGACATGTCTCATGAGCATGAAAACTAGTACTAAACTAGAATCGAAGGAACGGACCCAAACTGATGATGAATTAGACGGTTCAGTTTGAACTTGAATATGCCAAATAACTGAATAGAACATTGTTGAATCTGTGAATTTGGCCAATTTATTGATGACATTTTGATACTAGATTATTCGAAAGAGTAAGACAAATCGACGATTATAAGAAATTACTGAACTGAACAAAACCTAGGTTGTCGGAAAAGGATTCTTAAACTATGAGAGCATCCATAAGAAACGGCCCAAAATACACAGAAGTCTATTTCCTTGCCCATTTTTATTCACATAAAATCATACTTTATCTACTCAATCTTGTTCGCCTAACCATATAGATTTCTCATTCAATATCGTTCCTTAACATTTTCAATTTAGCAATTCCTTAAGTATTTGTTTAATCTTAGGGAGCATCCTTAGGATTCGTCTAATCATTGACCTTTTTTTGTTTAATATCGCCACCAGAAGTGATCATGAAGCATCCTTAAAGTGCTAAGGCTTTCCTTGACATTCCACATTGTTTTCTTTGGATTGGTCTGTATGGATTTGTCTCCAGCCATGCACTCGGCCCGGTTCTTGACGGTGGGTTCCTGCCTTCCTGGTCGACCAGATTGATATAATTTGTCGACCATATTGTTTTGTTGCTCGGCCAAACTCAAAAATTTCTCAACCAAATCCATCTTTTTCTCTTCAAAATCACTTGCAAAACGTAAATGTACTAAATTATTCTCCGTCACAGCTCTAGTCACCTAAATCTTCTTATGAGCAGTAGTTTAAGCTTTCAAACTGGTCAATCATTTTTATGTGGCCAGCTTTTGTTCTCAGAATCTTGGAATGCTATATTGTTATCTCTTTTCCATTGCCACTCCTTTGGTGTCGGCTATTACTTGGACTCGTTGAGTGTCCATTACTTTCACATGAAATACAATGATTCTTGTTTTTTTTGCTTAAATCCTTTTACACTGCATTCTCGTTGAGGTATTCATTTCTCTCATTATTTTTGCAAACTTCACATTTCTTCTCCCTGAACTTAAATTGTTTCTTGATAGTTAAGTGGTTCTTATCTTCTTTAGAGACCAAGCTCCTTTTTGAATACCTTTTTGAATAATGATTTGCTTAAATACAAACTTAACATTTATTCAAGAAAAGTTTATCTATCTATTCAAATCCACATGCTAGTGAACATGGGCGAACCTACGTGAGCTGAGGAGGGGGCTATTGCCCCATAAAAAAAAAATTATTGATTTTTTTTTTAGCTAAATAAAGTTTCTACCATGAATTTTCTGTTTTTTGCCCCCACAAAATAGCCCATTCAATTATCATCTAAAGCCCATTTTAGAAATATAATTATTGTTTTTACTAAATTGACAAAATTATACTTACAATTAAAAACCCTAATCAAACTTTTTTGTCAAACGTGTGTGTTGTTCGTCGTCTTCTTCAAGTTCGAGGTAATTTTTTGTATTTGTTAATTTGTTCTTTTATTCATGTTTCATAGTAAATATTTTATTATAATGGTGTAATGAAAGCTAAAGGTTGATACATAGAACCAGCTGCAAACATCGAATACATATTTATATTCTTTAACACAGTTTTTTTTTTCCAGAAAAAACCAATGGAAAAATACTACAAGAAAGTATCTACTGCAGTACCTGAATCTAGTGTTGATGATCTGCCACTGCCTAAATCTGATGAAAGGAAAGATAAAAGAAAAGCTTCTCCAGTACTTGATACCAATATCGATGATTTGCCATCTGACCCTGGTGAAAGGAAAGACATAATGGATTACCCTGCAAATCAAAGAGACGAGGTTAGACGTAGATATCTAACTAAAAGTCCGTGTCAACCTTATGGTCATAAATTTAAAAAAATATCAAAAGGAGGTGGAACAAGAAGATTCAATCCAGCTTGGTTTGATCAATATGGTAGTTGGCTAGAGTATAGCATATCTAAAGAGAGTGCATTTTGCTTATATTGCTATTTGTTTAAAGATGAGATACGAATGCAAGGTGGAAGTGATGCATTTGTGAAAGAGGGGTTTAATAGCTGGCAAAAGCCCGAGAGATTGCTTACTCATATGGGTAAACCACCCAACAGTTGTCACCTTATTGCTGCACAGAAATGCGAGGATTTGATGAATCAACATCAATCTATAGCACATGCTCTGTTTAAGCTAGATGATAAGGTGAAAACTGAGTATCGTATTCGCTTAAATGCTTCGATTGATGCTTCAAGATTCTTGTTACGACAAGGATTACCTTTTCGTGGCCATGGTGAGAAAGAAGATGATGCGAACAAAGGAAATTTCTTGCAGCTTTTGAAATACACAGGAGAACAAAATGATGCTATAAGTAAGGTTATTCTGAAAAATGCTCCAGGAAATAACCAGATGATTTCTTCTAAGATTCAAAAAGATATTGTCCATTCCTTTGCAGAAGAAGTACGACAAGCTATTTTAGAAGAAATTGGTCATGGTGTGTTTGGTTTGCTGGTTGATGAATCTGCTGATGTTTCTCATAAAGAACAGATGGGTGTTGTTTTTCGGTTTGTTGATAAAAGGGGAGCAATCAAGGAACGGTTTATTGGAGTTGTTCATGTAAAAGAAACGTCTTCTTTAGCTCTGAAATCTGCTATAGATGATTTGTTTGCTAGATATGGTATGAGCATTACAAAGGTGAGAGGACAAGGTTATGATGGAGCTAGTAATATGAGAGGTGAGTTTAATGGGTTGAGATCATTGGTTGCTAGAGAAAGCACTTCAGCATATTATGTTCACTGTTTCGCTCATCAGCTTCAGCTAGTTGTAGTGGCTGTTGCAAAAAAACACTTTGACATTGCTGATTTTTTTGATATGATTTCTACATTGTTGAATGTTGTTGGGGCTTCTTGTAAACGACAAGATAAATTCCGAGAAATTCAGCGTGAAGAATTAGAAAAAGGAATCAAGAGTGGTGAAGTTAAGACTGGGACAGGACAAAATCAGGAACGTTCTTTAGCAAGACCTGCAACTACTCGTTGGGGTACACATCACAAAACATTGTTGAGGCTGGAAGAATTGTTTTCTACTACCATTAAAGTTCTTGAGTATATCCAAGATGAGGGTTGGGAAGACTTACAGAAACGTCAAGCATGTGGTCTTCTCAAATACTTCCACACATTTGATTGTGTGTTCTATTTGCATCTTATGTTACTTATTTTGGGTCTCACTGCGAATTTGTCATTGATTTTGCAACAGAAAGATCAGGATATTTTGAATGCTATGTCACTGGTAGGATCCACTAAACGAGAGTTGCAGAAGCTTAGAGATGATGGTTGGGATTCACTTATGGCAAAGGTTGCTTCCTTTTGTAAAAAACATAATGTTGAGATGCTCATCATGGAAGAAGATTTTGTTGATCTTAGGTACCCAAGAAAGAAAACTAATATAAGCAATATGCATCATTATAAGGTCAACTGCTTTTGTACGGTTCTAGATTTGCAGATTAAAGAGTTCAACGATCGTTTTACAGAGGTAACCACTGATCTGCTTATATGTATGGCTGCTTTAAGCCCAGTTGATTCATTCCATGGGTTTGACAAAGAGAAGCTGGTGCGATTAGCTAAGTTATATCCAGATGATTTTAGCTATGGTGAGCTTTTATCTCTAGAGCAACAACTTGATATCTACATCGACAATATACGCAGAGACGAAAGGTTTAAGAGTGTAGAAAATCTTGGAGATTTTTCATGTTTGATGGTGAAAACTCAAAAGCATCTAGCACATCCTTTGGTCTACAGGCTCTTAAAGTTAGTTCTAACTTTGCCAGTTGCCACCGCAAGTGTTGAAAGATGTTTTTCAGCAATGAAACTAGTGAAGACAGCTGCACGTAACCGAATTGGAGATCAGTTTTTAAGTGATTGCATGGTTTGCTTTATTGAGAAAGAGTTATTTGACTCAGTTTCAAATGAGAAAGTGATTAAGAAATTCCAGATGATGAATGAGCGTCGAATTGTTTTGTAAAATTTTTTTTTTATTTGCTGAAATTTTTTATAAGATATTACTATTTAATTTTATTTAGTTGTATTTCATATTTTGCCCCCATGATATTTATTTTCTAGATCCGCCACTGCTAGTGAACCGAATTTAGTTTCACTGTAAATTAAATCACCATGTTAAATTTTTAATCACACTACAAATCAAATTGACATTTCTTTCAAACGTATAGGTCTTGTTTTGATTGGTTATTTATAACAAATATGCCCAACACTGAAACCAAAGCGATCACCCAAATAGCGTAACTATCACCCTAAACAGATCAACATTCTTGGAACTGTAATCTTGCTTGGGTGTGAATTAATAATAATCTAGTTAAAGAAAAAGAAGAAAGTTAAAATATGTATATTATTACGTGGTCCAGACTCCAGTTCGCCCACAAAAGAAGGATCTTGAGACATGAGCGTGAGACCGTCTCCAAGCTGTTCGCCTCTCATGCTCCAGCTCCCTTTCCCACCTTCTTTATTTTTTATTTTTTTTAATCCTTCAATTATGTATGCTTTTCTTATTTACCATAATGGAATCTGTTTGCTTATTTCTTCTCCTTGTGTTTTTACTTTCCTGAATAAGTTATCACTTATCAGTGCTAATTCTTTCTTCCTACAAACGGGACCGTCAACTTTTACCAATTACGAAGATGGTTGCAATTATGTCCATTATTCATTTTTTACTTCTTTTAATTGTTTTATACTAATTATACTAATGGTAATAACCAATTGTACAAACAACTTGTGTTATTCATAAAAGTAGTATCATGTAAGACACATGTATTACCAATTATACAAACATACATAGCTGGTATTCATGAATATACAAACAGGTAAACTTTGACAAACAACGCATTTAAATTTCTTTAATATAATGAGACGAAAAATCAGCAGTTTTTGTTTTGGGGGAAAAAATCAACAGTTTAAACATAAATAATTACAATAGTGCCACTGTTTTATTTTCTGGGGGCAACTGTTTTTAGAAGCTCTATTATTGTTACTTCTCACTGCTCTCTCTCTCTCTCACACGCAAACAAAAAAATGGCTCACCTCTTCAGAGAGCTGTCTCTGGGCCACTCCAAGAGAGAGACGACTCCTCCGCCGCCTCCTCCTCCGTCGACGATTCCCTCCGATCTACCACCGTCTCCACTCGGACAACTCGCCGTCCACCTCTCCGAATCCGATCTCCGCCTCATCGCCTACGAGATCTTCGTCGCCGCATGCCGTAGCGCCACGGGAAAGCCTCTCTCATCCGCCGTTTCATCACTCTCCATTCCTAATCCGGACTCTCCGAGCAACAACAGCAACACCAACGGCGTCTCTCCCGCTTCTCCAGCAACGCAGCGTTCTCTGACCGCAACCGCCGCGAGTAAGATGAAGAAGGCCTTGGGGATGAAGTCGCTCTCCTCGTTATCTCCCGGATCTACAAAGAGCCCTGGCTCTGGCTCCGGTTCTGGTTCGGGTGGTAAGTCGAAGCGTCCCACTACTGTCGGTGAGCTCATGCGGATCCAAATGCGAGTATCTGAGTCGGTTGATTCGCGCGTTCGTAGAGCTTTCCTTAGGATCGCTGCTAGTCAGGTTAGCTCAATTTCTGTTACGATCCAACTGAACTGATTTACTGATTGACTGGTCAAATGTTTATACAGGATTATGATCTTGTTATTTGGTGGCGGTTAGGCATTTTATAGAGGATTATTGTTTAGGCGGACACCTAATCCTGATTTTTTTAATGTGTTCGAAAAAATGATTTTCCGACTATGACCGATTTTTAGAACACTGTGTTATATTAATTCCATTAACTTATATGTGATTTTTGATTTTCATAGATCTTCAATTGTATAGATTAAGTATATGTTTCTGTGTTTAATTGCTGGAGAGTTCTTTTGCAGGTTGGAAGGAAGATTGAGTCAGTGGTTCTTCCATTAGAATTGTTACAACAGTTAAAGTCTTCTGATTTCACGGACCAGCAAGAGTACGACGCGTGGCTCAAGAGATCACTCAAGGCTCTCGAGGCAGGTCTTCTTTTGCACCCTCGTGTACCACTTGACAACAAGACGAATTCTTCTCAACGACTTCGACAGATTATCCACGGGGCACTAGACCGGCCTTTGGAGACCGGAAGGAACAATGAGCAGATGCAGAGTCTTCGATCTGCGGTCATGTCTCTCGCCACTAGATCTGATGGCTCTTTCTCTGACTCGTGCCATTGGGCTGATGGCTCTCCGTTTAACCTCAGGCTCTATGAGCTTCTTTTGGAAGCTTGCTTTGATTCTAACGACGCTACTTCAATGGTGGAGGAAGTTGATGATCTTATGGAACATATAAAGAAGACGTGGGTGATTCTTGGGATTAACCAGATGCTTCATAACCTCTGTTTCACGTGGCTTTTGTTCTCTCGGTATGTTGTGACTGGACAAGCTGAGATGGATTTGCTTTACGCGTGTGAGTCTCAGCTGGCCGAAGTTGCTAAAGATGCAAAGACAACGAAAGATCCTGAGTACTCCCAAGTGTTGAGTGCTACGCTTAGTGCTATATTGGGCTGGGCGGAGAAGAGGCTCCTTGCGTACCATGACACCTTTGACCGGAGTAATGTCGGTACCATGGAGGGCATTGTTTCTTTGGGTGTATCAGCAGCTAGGATTTTAGTTGAAGATATATCTAACGAATATCGTAGGAGGAGGAAAGGAGAAGTTGATGTAGCTCGTACGAGGATTGAGACATACATCAGGTCTTCACTACGTACTGCTTTTGCTCAGGCAAGTGTTTTGCATTGTGTCTTTAATCTTTACTTGCGGTTTCCTTCAACGAGCTTAAATTTGATTATTTTATGTCTCTTAATAGAGAATGGAGAAAGCAGATTCTAGTAGGAGAGCATCGAGGAACCAGAAAAACCCTCTTCCTGTTCTCGCCATCCTTGCTAAAGACATTGGTGAGCTAGCTGTTCAGGAAAAGCGAATGTTTAGTCCAATATGGAAGAGATGGCATCCGTTTGCTGCAGGAGTTGCTGTGGCTACACTCCATGTTTGTTACGGAAACGAGATTAAACAGTTTATCTCCGGGATATCTGAATTGACACCTGATGCTGTCCAGGTATTAAGAGCTGCTGATAAGCTAGAGAAGGATCTTGTGCAAATCGCTGTAGAGGATTCTGTTGACAGCGATGATGGTGGCAAAGCAATTATCCGTGAAATGCCTCCTTTCGAAGCTGAGACAGTTATTGCTAATTTGGTCAAAGACTGGATCAAGGCAAGAATAGACAGACTTAAGGAATGGGTCGACAGAAACTTGCAGCAAGAGGTTAGTAAATCAAACATTAGTCATTAAGTTTTGGAGTGTGATTTTTATCATCTGATTTTTCTTATTTCCAGGTATGGATTCCGGTGGAGAATCAAGAAGGAGGTTATGCACAATCTGCTGCAGAAGTGTTACGGATTACTGATGAAACTTTGGAAGCGTTTTTTCAGCTGCCCATACCTATGCATCCTGCTGTGTTACCTGATTTAATCATTGGTTTAGACAAATATCTTCAGTATTATGTCTCAAAGGCGAAATCTGGTTGTGGTAAGTTTGCTGGCATATGATTCCTATCTATTGAAATTTTTTTTTATTTCTAACATGTAATGATGATGCTCAGGCTCTCGAACTACGTACATGCCTTCAATGCCTGCACTCACACGATGTACAACGGAGTCAAAGTTCCAAGGTGTCTGGAAAAAGAAAGAAAGGTCACCTCCTTCTCAGAAGAGAAACTCTCAGGTTACCGTTGCTAATGGAGAAGGTTCCTTTGGGGTCACACAGATATGTGTAAGAATCAACAGCTTGCACAAAATCCGCAGCGAGCTCGATGTTGTGGAGAAGAGAGTGATCACACATCTGAGGAACTGTGAGTCAGCTCACACCGACGACTTCTCCAACGGTTTAGGCAAAAAGTTTGAGCTCACACCAGCGGCTTGCATCGAAGGCGTTCAACAGCTATCTGAGTCTTTAGCTTACAAAGTCGTCTTCCATGACCTAAGCCACTCGTTATGGGACGGGTTATACATCGGTGACCTCTCATCCTCTAGAATCGAGCCTTTCCTCAAGGAGCTTGAACAGAATTTAACTGTCATAGCAGAGACAGTACATGAAAGAGTCCGTACACGCATCATAACCGATCTTATGAGGGCCTCTTTCGATGGCTTCTTGCTTGTCCTACTCGCTGGAGGACCCTCTAGGGCTTTTACTATACAAGACTCTCAGATAATGGAGGAAGATTTTAAATCTCTGAAGGAATTGTTCTGGGCGAATGGAGATGGTTTAGCCATGGACCTGATCGATAAGTTCTCGACCACGGCTCGAGGTGTGCTTCCTCTGTTCAGTACAGACACAGACAGTTTAATAGAGAGGTTCAAGGGAATGACACTCGAAGCATACGGTTCTTCAGCTAAGTCTAGGCTTCCTTTGCCTCCGACTACAGGCCAGTGGAATGGTATGGATCCAAACACGCTCTTACGAGTTTTGTGTTACCGTAATGATGAATCTGCGACGAGGTTTCTCAAGAAGACATATAATCTACCGAAGAAGCTCTAGTGGAGTCTACTGGAATGGTTAATAACCTCACATGATGAAGAGTGTGTTTTCCACTTGCAGGGAGCATCCGAGATTTGTATAGTGAGTTTCATTTTTTTTGTTTAATAATTATTTGTTTTATGATTTTTGTATACATTTCGTATACGTATTATATTCATTTATATCGTTTGTTATTCTTATTTTTTTGATGACTGAAACAACCTATTTCGAACATCACTTGTGTTCAGTTCTTTGCTAAAAACAGAGGAAGTTTTAAGGAAAATGGCGCGGGGAGGGGAGGTGGTCACCACTGTTTAAATTTATTAGATAAAAAAATAGTCAAGTCTTCTATATATCGAGTTTCAAAAAAAAAAAAAAAGAAAAAAAGAAAAAAAAGTCTTCTATATATCAAAAAGAAGAACCTTATTAACTGAAGAGCCATGGTTGTTTGCGTGTGACAATAATGCAGATGATATTCTTTGGTAAACCACGAAATTTGATTGTTCCTACCTTCCAAGTTATTTATATCTTTTTCTTTTGCATGTTTTTCATGTAGGGACCAATGAGTACAACCATGGAAGGGGCCTTTGAAAATTTTGGTCGGAATGCAACAGAAAGTAACTAAATTTGTGACATTTGAGTTCTCTGTCTACTGTTTAAAACTAGGTGTACCAATTATTTACTGCATTTGAGGAAATAATAGTCCGCTTCTTCTTCCACAAGCTATTTTGTAATATATAACAGCATAAAGGATATAGCAACCTTCATATGGTAATTTGGTAGTGAGGCGTGAGTGAAACTTGATGTAATTCCTTGCCATTCTAAAACGACTAAACAATAACATGACAAATATATATATTTTTGGGGTTGTCAAACATTACATAGTATTTAAGAACAAATAGAGAAAAAGCGCAATAGTCTCTTGTCTTAAAAAAATGACACACAATCGAAAGACAATAAATCTTTGCCATCAAGAATGAGAACTTTTACAAGCTACTTACTGAGTACAGCCGATTTTGCTTCAGTTAAAAGAGATCAAATTCTCTTTGAAATAATCCACGAACCGTAACTTGATCCAATACTATTCTTAAAGGTTAACCACTGTACTTGCAGAGGTTTTCGAAACCCATGTACTCGTGCCGTTGGTACTTGCCAATCATGTTCACTATTCCCACGCCACCTAATAAACAAACATAACAAAATTACTTACTGTATCTTCTTAAAGTGATTAAAAAAGATGAATAATCCGCGCATGATATATCTATCATATCCATTTCGATAGATTACCACATCTTATGGATCAAAGCAAATAAGTAAAAGAAAAATTAGTTTTAGGTGAAAAGGGAGGTCAAGTACCAAGTGATATCGCGCTGATAAAAATCATGGAGGCCAGGATGAAGATGATGAGAGATGCCCTTCCAAGAACTGTAATCAGTCTTCTGACTACATGTTGTCCAACCAAAGCTGCAAATGTTGCAACTCCCACAAGGTACGAAGCTACGAAAAACATTTAAAAATAAGAAACACAGTCTTACCAAACATAATGTATCAGATAAACTCACCATATGGAACAGGGAACCGTTTGAGAAGATAGTATTCTATAACAGACATAGATGAAGAGAAAGTCATTGCAAAAGTCGCTGTGGCACTTGAGACCTACAAAAGATATAGATATGTTGTGATACAAAGAACAAATGATTCTCGATTATGATAAGTTCACCACACCTGTGGTGGGACACCGAGCTCAAGAAACAATGGTCCCATGATGAAACCTCCGCCTAAACCAAGTAATCCACCGACAATACCCGCCAATATGCCAAATGTACAGTAAAGAATAAGCTGACCAATGGTGAAATTAGAGTCTCCTTGTCCATTTGATGCAATGATTCTTCTACCCTGGTACAAAGCTACTGCCTCGTAACCTGATACACCAACTGCAACAGGAATCTGCATGACGGTAGAGATGTAAAGCAATGTATATGGTTCTCTCAGCAAACTAATAAGATAAAATGTAATTAAATCTATACCTGTAACAAGTTTATGACCCAATATGCTACTGAACAAGTTGGCAGATTTTTCTGTTTCCATGCAAAAGAAAATGAAAAGTTGTAAAAACAAAGTTTGAACATGTAAAGTATGCTCCAGCTGATACATATGAATGTGTACTGAACTAACCTTGGCTATCTGCAGTGCCAGGAAAACAATCCAGACGAAAACAAGAAGTCCAAGTTCCTTCCAGTATACATTCTCAATAATACTAACCTGCAGTAAAATTAGCATTGTTAAACTGTTGACATGCCTTGTAAAATACAGAACTAGCAGTAGTGTAAAGATAATAGAAACTCACTTCTCGTTTCTTGTTGTTTTCAGGATTGGTGCTCGGAGCTGCAGGAAGAGGCGTATATTCCACTTCTGTGGCAGATACACCTGATGAAAAAGTAATATTATGTTTAACCAAAAAAAAAAACAGAGGTTGTAATATGGTTGTCGCTGTAACATGTTTAACACAACAAAAAGTCAACTCACCATTTGACTCTAAACGCTTAGCAGTTTCCTGTAACACAGACCATTAAAAGAAAACGTTTGATTACACACTACAAATCCATTGGAGGAGGCCGAGAAGTTCTTATAAACACAAGAATAATTCATGAAAGTTAATAATGATGTACCATTTTCGCTATAGTCTCCTTGTTCCAAGTCTCACAACCTTTCAAAAACGCCTTTGTTGATGTACCTGCATTCACATTCATATAAGTCTAACCGTGGATAGAGAAAGACAACATATATATGTATACATCCTTTACCTAGAAAGAGGATTATGAGTAGTACTGTGACCATCCAATCTGGAAACATCACGTTGAAAGCGACACCAACGCTAATCCCAAGCATAAGCATGGGCTGGATCAACAGCGCCAAATCATAGTCAATGATTGGCATATCAAGCGTAGGATGTCTCAATCTAAGATTGTAATACACAGTTGACACAGAAGCTCCCATGATCATGCCTATAAAAGAAAAAAAATGATCAAAACCAACTTAAAAGTTATTAACATGTATTATTATTCTCTTACATTTAGACATGGCTGTTGCAGATTTGGGATCAAACCCAATAATCAAACTGAGCATTGGAACAAAGATGCCACCTCCACCAACACCTCCTACGCTACCAAACGCAGCTCCAAAGAATCCAACGAGAGTGCCCAAAACAATTTGCCAGTTAAACTCAAACTCCTGTGGAAACGATTTTTTTTATTTTATTTTTATTTTATTAATTAATTCCGGATTAGATCAAATAAGAGGGGGAGAAAAAAAAAAACAACTTACGGGCCAGACATGATGATAACCTGTCTGATCAGGTTCCCATAGAAAATCCATGGCTCTGAGGAAGAAACTGGGTTCGTCACTTTCCCGCGTCTTGGAATCTAAATTTCCCCTCTCAGAGGAAACGAAGGTAAACGCTAAAGCGAAATAGGTGAAGAGAAGGATCACTGATCTCAGACCACGACACTTGCATCTCATGAGTTCCGACATTTTTGTGTATTCGAAAATCACAAGTACACGAGTGAATCCGTTCCGTAATCCGTATCTTACTTTTTCTATATAAACTCTCTTCTCACTTTATTTTTAAATAATAATTCCACCTGGAGTCTCTGAGACTTGGAACCTAGACGTGCTATTAGCAATCAACATCTGTGGCCTAGCTGTTTTTAGACCAAATCAAGATAATTGTTGTCATTAATGACTTAATGACGCCAGATAGCATAAATCATGAAATAATTTTTTCTTAATCTTTTTTTTATATATTAAATATTTTTGGATTTTTCTGAAACATAAGAACATGAAAAATAAAAATAAAAACGCAAAAAAATTACAAATGCTCGTATAAACATGAAATAGGTTCCACTTAGAGGATCTCCAACTCAAACCCAAATTTTGAGATTTTGTGTCATTCTAACTTAACTTCAAATCTTCAAATTATGAGGTTCTAAATAGTGAAACTTTAAATTTGAGATTTCACTGTTCAGAACCTCAAAACTATTTTGTATTTTTTTCGGTTCTTACAATTATTATTTTTCATAAATTCATATACTAAAACTTAATTTAAAGTCACTTAAGTACATCAAAATAAACTAAAATGAGTTTACACAATAGAAAAATATATTAAATAAAACTCACACAAAATAAAATTACGTTAAAAACTTAACACAAATTAAAACAAATTACATAAACACATATGAAAGCATTACGGAGATAATACTTGAAGGATTTGGTATTTTATATATAACTTTATAAAATTTGTGTGTATGTGTATTGTTCTATTATATATGTATATATATTTTATCTTGTATTATATAATATTATAATATTATGTGTTGTATAAAATTATATATATATTTATATGTATTTGTAAAGTTTTATTGTTATTAGTAATTTTTGTTAATGTTAAGGACTATAATACAAATAAATAAGCTTTAAATTTTTTTTTTGGGATTTATGGTTGGAACAACTCAACTTCAAATTTTTATTTCGAGGCTTTACATCACTTAAATAAGATTTTGCGTTCGACTAGAGATGCTCATAATAGATTGAAATTTGTAAAAAATCACTAAAGGCCCATTACCGATTTAGAAGTTCCAATTTCTCACTCTAGTGAAGAGTCGTAACGAATACTAACAATGCTAAAAAGGGGTTTGGAGTCAATTCACCACTGAAAAATATAAATCCAATCATATCTTATTTTATCTCAGTTCTATCCTAAGCCTAACAGTTTTATATAAATGGACTAGACCAAGATATCTCTCTACTCTCTCCAACTTCTCACTACAAGAAGCTTTTAAATCATTGTTGCTCGTTGGTGGTCGGTAACTTTCGCCGCCAAATACTTTTTTCCTTTTGTTTTGGTTGTAAATATTCAATCTTTTGATCGATCTTTTGTTCCGGTTTGGGGATGTTCTTTCCGCTAGGCGATTCTGAAATGTTTTATGGTCAACTGAAAAACCCGTGTTTAAATCAAATCCTTATTCTATGTCGTGTTTGATCTTTTCAGTAAACCTCTGATTTGTTGATCGGTTTTTTAGGTTACGCTTATCTTCTCAAAAACTGTATATCGTGATTGTTTTTATTTAGAAATCCCTTTGCCATTGGATATTCTCAGCCTTTATCTATAAGGAAATCAATTATGTTTATCAAGCAAAGTATTCTGAAGAGGTGAAGATTTGAGTTTTGCAAGCTGTCTCACGATTTACTTCAGTTATAGATGACTTGAAGCTTGTTATTTTCCAAGTGTTTCGACAAGAGTTGTTGGGGAATCGTAACAATCCGACGATAAGAGTGAAATCAGCTACTCCCCGATTAATCCATGATTTCCTCACAACTCGTTAGGTCGGACTCACTGTCGAACTAGCGCCTAACCAATTCCCCGAACATGGTTTAGTGTATTCAATTCTATTATTTACATGTGCATTTTTAACAATTCAACTACTACTTGCAGTAAATCTATCTTATTAAATCAGAAACATTAGCTTGAACCTAACATTTATTTTGTAACCTTTTAAATTAAATGCATTTTTCTACTTTATAGTTAAACATACATCAAATCATTAATATTATTTTCTTTATATTACTAACCATGTTTCCAAACAATTTTTTTATTCTTTTATACTACTATCTATGTTTCTAAAAACCACTATAATTAATCTTATGGCCAAAAAATACAAAATATTAGATCTCACTCATTTTAATAATTTCTCACAATTTTCTTTCAAATATTTAAGCAAATTAAAAAAATTCAAATAATATATAAAAAAATGAAAACAAACTTATTTTTATAGGTTTAAATATTACATATCAGTTATTCATCGCTTCTAGTGATTTTTTAAATATGAATATTTTAAAAATCAAAATTGAGTTATCGGAGGGTTGAATAAAAATACTGATTTAAATGCAAATTATTTTAAATACATAAATTCTTTAAAATTACCAAAATATTTTAAGTTATTTATGAAAATTTTCATCATAAAATATTATGCGCTTACAAATTTAAGACCAAAGTTAAGTTTGAATTGACTTAATTTATGAAATAAAGTTTAAGCCCAAAAATTCTTACAATTTGTATATTATTTTAAAAAATTTGGATAATTATTAACATCATAATTAGCTAAGCTCTCAACTTATTTTTTAATGTAGACAATTAATTTTAAATTCGATTTTACATTTCAAATAAAAGTATAAAATTAATGTTTTTATTGCATAGTTACATGTACATAATACACTGTTTGACGATATTAATACAAAAAAAAAGATAGTTTTGAATTTGATATTGTTTTTTAAACATTAAATCGAATTGGGCCTTTTAGATATGGTAATCTATCCTTGACAAAAAAAAAAAAAATGGTAATCTATCCTTTTGGGGTTTATAAAAAAAGGAATTGTCTTATAACACAATAAAGAGATAAATTTATGAATATCTCAAAATACATGTGCCTTCTTACAATTTTGAACAAAGAATATTATGTTTGTCTGGCCTTGGCCGTCAAGTCCGTCTTTCTCGTCGATTCTTAAGAATTAAGAGAAGAGAAAACAAACCACATATAAATTCCATCGGAGAGGCTCAATGGGGGATTCTAAAATGGCAAGTTTCCTCGACTCCATCGGTGCCTTCTTCAGCGGCGGCGATAAGATCCCTTGGTGCGACCGTGATGTCATCCTCGTAAGTCTCCCCTCTCTCTCTCTCTTGTTCCCTCTGTGGTTATGCCGGAACAAAAACATCATTCGATTTCTCATAATCTGTTTGATTTCTCGATAATTGCTGAGAAGATTCTTAATCGTATGTTGCTAAATTTCGTAATCAACCAATCATATATATATATATCTCAAGTGAAAAGGCAATTGATGTTTTAAGGGATGTGAGAAAGAAGTTAAGAGCGCAACGGAAGGTGACTCGGAAGATCAAAAGAAAGAGAGCATAATGCGATTGTCTTGGGCTCTTGTTCATTCCCGACAAGCCGAAGATATCCAGCGTGGAATAGACATGCTCGAAGGTACGTACACTTTCACTTTCTTACTGAATTTAATATTACATCAAAATGAAAATGTGTTTTGATTATTATTTACAGTGACCGAAACTCTTTTTATTTTATGCTATACAGCTTCTCTAGCAACTAGTAGCCCTCCTTTGCAAGACCGAGAGAAGCTTTATCTTCTTGCTGTTGGTTATTATCGTACTGGAGACTACTCAAGAAGCAGGCAGCTCGTTGAACGCTGTCTCGAGGTTTGTTTCTTTTTTCTTTTTATTTCACTCATCACCCGATCGATAATAATAGTGTTCGAATGTTTTTTACTCTTTGAACGTTTGTTTTCCCATAGGCTCAACCTGATTGGAGGCAAGCTTTAGCCTTAAAGAAAACCATTGAAGACAAAATCGCTAAAGGTAAGTTAAAATGCGGTTTTGAATCTCTTTTTTTTTTGTTGCTAATCTGAACAAATGATGTTAATAAGCCTTTGTTGGTCATGATTTGCAGATGGTGTTATTGGGATGGGCATCACGGCTACAGCCGTTGGCCTCATAGCCGGTGGAATCGCTGCTGCTATGGCTCGCAAAAAGTGACCAACCAGATTCTGTGTGCATATAAGTAACATATGCTTTCTTTTTAAGTTTTTTTTTTCTTTTTCCAGCTTTCAGATGTTCCATGTTATCTTTCTAAATTATTACCTTGTTTTATATGTTCTGTTCAAATAGTAATTCTCCCCTCTCACACCTATATTCCAAAGTATGAGCCAAACTTATTTTGTTTCTACGGTCATAAACTGATAATTTTTTGTTTGTAGAAGACATAGCATAGATATAATATAACTAATCGACAACAACATCGTTCACTTCATAAATCTCATGAACGTATGACATGAAACAAATATTTCGTTATATATATGGTCGCATTTCAACAAAGAAAGTTGATGGAATGTTAGTCTAAGACATTGACGAAGAACACACCAATGTAAGTTTCCGTGGGAAACAGATATTGAAAGGTACCAATGGCATTAATTTTAACATAGTGTAGATAAACAGATTCACGTTCTTAAATAACTTAACCAAGTTTTACTTCACGTTTTTTTTTTACGTTAACTAGTTTGTAGGTTATCTGTTATGTAAATATTTTATAAATAAATAATCGACATATCAAAATGGAATGATTATATATGTCATGAATTGTTATTCAAATTTTACGGTAGAGATAATATTAATTTGTTCGTTTAAACAATTTATAATGCCTCAAAAAATTCATAAGAAAACATCTTAAATAGTTAAAAAAATGAAAATCTAGAGGCCACGAAATCTGAAATCTTGTATAAGTTCTATTTTTAAAACCACTAAAACAAATATTTATAGGGAATTATAATTCACCACAATAAAAAAATTAGATAGATGGTACAAAGCTGATAATCCTATGATGATCGTGAAAAATAAATAAAATCACCAATAAGCTATATACTATCCAAAAATCATTGGTAAGAAACCAAATACAAGCCTTTTACAATAGCTATCAAGACATTTATGATAATTTTTTAAAAAAACTAGTCTATAAAGTCATAAATCTGTCAAATTACATTCAGTTGACAAAATGAAACTTGTCCAGTTTAATTATCGATTTCGGGTGTTTGTCAGCGTGCCACATACCAGTGTGGAACATGTTTGATGTTACAAAAACTGATAAACTTGCGATAATTGTGAAGAGTAAAAATAAAAAACTGTAGTTACATATATATTTTTTTTTTATAACACTGATATTTAGACTTGTCCAAGGCATGAAACATGAGATACAAAAGAAATGAAAAAGAGGGATGTCAAAAGACATCAACAATAAAATAATTGAAACCTCACCCATCGGACTCCTTACTTTTTAGCCTCCCATGCAAGGAGATGATGAAGCCATGCTGGAGCAAATCTAGCGATATATGACTGGTGCCGCTGATCAACGGATGACACTTAAAGCAATCGCTGCTGCCGCTTCATTGCGCTCCTGGAAAGCATGTTCTACGCTCCATGTGTTTATTCTTGCTAAAAGAGTGATGATATTGTGACGGATGATGCTGAAATCATGGATTTGCTGGCTAATAGGCTTTGTGAAAACATCATGGAGGCATTCAGACGAAGTCTCAAAAAATAATATTTGAGTAATGTAAATTAACCATACATTCAATCGTCCAAAACAAAGCCCATAAATCCGCTTCAGTCTTTGTACGCATATAAGAGTAAGCTCGACGACTGTGCATGAGCGTACCCCCCATTTTCATCCCGTAAAATCCAAGAAGCTCCAGACGGTTGATTAAATTTCACCCAAATCCAATATTACATTTTACAAGGATCTGGAGTGAGCAATGGATCCCTGACTCAGTGGCCCGAACCCCTAGGCCTGCCGATCATATTGTCTATAAACTCCCCAGCCTCCCGGTTCAAGCCCTTATTAGGAATGATACCAAGGAGTGGGATATACAACGCTTGAGAGAATATTTCCACCCAGATGACATTCCTCTAATACTTGGGATAAAACCCTCCCCCTCAGCCTCTTCAGATGGATATGTTTGGGATCACACAAAGACAGGAGTATACTCGGTTAAAACCGGCTATGATCTACTCCAATCGAACAAGACAAGGCCTACACAGGAATTGGTCCTCCAACCGAGCATCACAGGCCTCCAGAGCCACGTGTGGAGGATTGATGCCCCAAGCAAGATGAAACACTTTCTGTGGCAAGCTATCTCAGGATGTGTGGCGACGGCAGAGAGACTCACCTATAGACACCTGGGCACCGATAGGAGTTGTCCTAGATGTGCTGGCCCAGTGGAGTCAATTAACCATCTTATCTTTGAGTGCCCCCCTGCCCTGCAGGTCTGGGCTTTATCGGACTATCCGTCCATTCCGGGTGTCTTCCCGAGTACATCTATATATCAAAACATAGACTTCCTCTTTTGGAAGAGAAAAGAGGTGGCTCCTCGGAGACCACAATTCGACACCTTCCCATGGATCTGTTGGTACATCTGGAAGGCGAGGAACGACAAACTCTTTAATGGGAAAGTCGTATCCCCAATGGATACTCTCCAACATGCGTCTCTTGAGGCAGAATGTTGGAGAAAAGCAAACATGAAAGAGGGAGTCGCCGAGGTACCTGAGGTACCCCCCTTCTTGGAGATGGAGATAGATTCCTCTAGGAACCCCCGAATCCCGACATGCCAAATTGATGCATCATGGATTAATCATGGTAATGTTAGTGGCTTAGGGTGGATCCTAAAGGATCATACGGGCTACGAATGGGTCGGTCAACGAGCGTGCAGTAGGAGCCGCTCAGCTCTGCATGTAGAGATGGAAGGCCTACTCTGGGCAATCTCATGTTTGAGAGACTTGCGGATCAACTCGATCAGGATTGAGACAGACTGCGCGGACTTAGTAGACATGTCTACTAACTCGGAGGAATGACCATCCTTCACAACAGAAATCGAGAGACTGAAGAGATTACAGGAGGACTTTGCGGATATGAGGCTTACTCATATCGCTCGAAGTAGGAATGTTCGCGCAGATGCACTGGCGAAGGAGGCGAGAAGGAAAGGAGTTATTTTTTCCCATATAGATCAGACCAGGCCAGACGGAGATGCTCCTAGGAGGATCGATTCGTCTGATCACCACTTGATCTAGCTTTGATGGGCGGCGGACAAAAAAAAAAAAAAAAAAAAAAAAAACAAGTTAGGATTTTAAGTGATGATATTGTAGTTACATACTTACATTCAAGAAAAGATTAGGATTTTAAGTCTAAGAAGGGACAAATGAGCTAATTTGAGAGAGATATGATATGATGCATTTATAAATTATAAGAGTTCCAAAACGCCGTTTGTTATTATTCCCTTCCTATCTACTATCTCTACGCTTCTCTCTCCCTCTCTGTTTCTTCGATTTCAGTCTTTGATAATCCTTTTTCTATCCCTTACCGCAAAAAAAAAAAAAAAAAACTCTGACATTGATTAGAGAGTTGTTTTAACACGGAAACCCTAATTTCTATCTAAACACTTGTGCAGTCCGTCCACACACGCAAAGAGCCAGTCTTTTTACTCATCATTCAATTCATGTCGGGATTCCGGAAAGTGGGTTGTCTTAAATTCTGAATCTTTCGGGGACTAAGAGCTCACAACTTCTTGGTCCCCAAAGACAGATAATGAGCCTCAGATTCCAAACCCCTTTTCTTGGCACTCCTCTCCCTTGTTTTAATCGCAATTTTGATGGTAGAGGAAGAAGAGCATTCCGCAGCAAGCGTAGTAGTATCTCCTCTGAGAATAAGAACACGAATAATTGGTTAGCCAAATTCTCTCGGTTCTGTGGTAAAAATGTAGAGCTTTTAAGCAAGTCTCTTGATTCTAGAGGTAAGAGGATGATGGAGATTAGTTGTTTGAAAGAGCCTCTCGTTAGAAGCAAAGGTTTGGTTAGGTCTTTAGCACCCGTTTGGGAAGAAGGTTTGTTTTTCCTCAGGTGTTCTGTTTTCTTCGCTGTGATCTCTGGTGTTTGTTTGTTGGTCTGGTATGGACAGAACAAGGCTCGTGTCTTTGTTGAGACCAAGCTTTTGCCCTCGGTTTGCTCTATGGTTAGTGAGAGTATACAGCGTGAGGTTGATTTCGGTAAGGTTAGAAGGGTTTCGCCGTTGTGTATAACGCTTGAAGCGTCCTCTATTGGGCCTCATGGTGAAGAGTTCTCTTGTGGTGAGGTTCCCACTATGAAACTCTGTGTCCGTCCTTTTGCTAGTTTGAGGAGGGGGAAGATTGTGGTTGATGCTATTCTTAGTAATCCGACGGTTTTGGTTGCACAGAAGAAGGATTTTACATGGTTGGGGATACCTTTCTCTGAAACTAGTTTGCAGAGTCGTTTGTCCTCTGAAGAAGGGATTGATTTTCGTACTAAGACCCGGAGAGTCTCTAGGGAGGAAGCAGGGATCCGTTGGGATAATGAGAGGGATAGTGATGCGAGAAAAGCTGCGGAGATGGGTTATGTTGTTCCGTGTAAAGAGTCTTCTCAAGGTAAAGATGATGCGCTGAAGTACAATAGGCGTTTGAGTGAAATAGCAAATCTCAACTCATTCACTTGTATGGATGAGAATATGCATTCTGCAGATAAGCATTGCATGGACACAGGAGTTGATTATGATGTGAAGCACGCTGAGTTGGAGAAATCGTTTGGCATAAAGATACCTGGCTCAGGGCTCAAGTTCTTGTCCAAAATGTTAAAGGGCCCGAGGAAGTACAAATTCAAGTGGAATTCAAGATCACACAATAACTCAGTGTCTGATGTAAGTGCCAAGAAGCGGATTCTTGAACGGAGTGCTTCAGCAGCTCTATCTTATTTCCACGGATTATCACAACAAAGGTCTGACGAGTTGAGTTTGGATATGCTTTTAGTCAAAGAAGGTGGGGGAGAAACTAGTAATCAATATGATTATCATGTGCCTTATGCGGAGCATTCATTATCTAATGATTTGGATGGGGTAAAAAAGGCTACAACGTTAGACAGATTCTCTGTATCACGTGATCCCTTCCTTATGACTGTTGATAGACTCTGTGCGCTCTTACAAACTGAACGAAGCTCATATGTTGAAGATACTACGAATTCTATTGGATCTGAGACTTCACGCAGTCAGAGAGGAGATATATCCATGAATGTTGTGAATCAGAATGGTAATCGAAGTGGAAATCAACCTCGTGACTTCACTTTCAAAAAGCATGAGCATCAGCCTGTAGCAAATCATTTGCGTCCTACTTGGCCATGGAACATAAAATTGAAAGAAGCGATGTTTAATTTATTAAATGGTTCGTCTAAGAAGCTAACGGGTGGGGCAGGTCCCAATGCTGCTGACAAGGCTTCTCACTTGAGTGATGTTTCTGATGAGAAGACACTACCATTTATGCTTGATTCTGTACAGTTTAAAAGTGGGACGCTTATTCTATTAGCTTATGGCGATACAGAGCCCAGGTAAGGGTCAACTATCTTTATCTATAATCATCATTTAAACCAGACATTTACAGTGCCTTTTCTCTTACTTTCCAATGCCAACTTTCAGTAATCAAATTCGTAGCATCACTCTTCGACCTTTGGCATTGGTTTAACTGGATATGAGAACCTACAATATCTTATGAGATTAGTATTGTTTTGTTTCTCATTGATTATGTAGAGAAATGAGGAATATCCATGGGCATGTTAAGTTTCAGAATCACTATGGTCGCGTGTATGTTCAGTTCGGTGGAAACTGTAGTATGTGGAGGTCAGAAGTAACATCTGAAGATGGTGGGCTTTTGTCTGTTGATGTTTTTGTTGATACTGTGGAACAGAACTGGCATGCAAACTTAAAGGTTGCGAACTTCTTTATCCCGGTAAGGTATCTGGTTGAATAGATGAGTTATTTATGGTATCAATTACAATGGCTAACTTATCTCTCTATTCTGCATCTGTGCAGATTTTTGAAAGAATTCTAGAGATCCCAATTGAGTGGTCTAAGGGAAGAGCTACTGGTGAGGTGCTTTTCTAATGTCCACTCTGTAGCATCTTAGTGAATTAAAGTTTTATCATATTCGACGAGCTTTGATCGTCCAAAATTTATGTTTTTGCCCTTTTCATTTTTTTGCTGTAGTAGTTTCTTTGTACACTATCTCTGCTTGCTGTTACACTATGTCCAATTAGTTAGCCATTTCATTGTCACCAGCCAGTTAGAGAACACCTTATTGGTGGAGTCTATATGCATGATAAATTGTGTCAGATCTCTGTATCAGTTTGGGAGTTCTTTCTTCTCTTTTACGAGTTGCCGATTCTGAGCAAACTTCTGAAATAAACCCAAGTGTCTTCTCTTGCATTGCAGGTTCATCTGTGTATGTCTAGAGGGGAAATATTTCCGAACCTACATGGACAACTTGATGTCACAGGACTAGGCTTCCATATATATGATGCACCTTCTTCGTTTTCTGTAAGTCTTGATTTTAAGTATTTTCTGAATATGCCTTCTCATGTCTTTGTAATATACTTCCTGTCCGCTAGAACATATGTACTACATGTATCTTTTCCATGTAATTGTTCAGATATAATACTCATCCTGTTATTTTTTAGTTACAAACATAGTATGCCAGTCCAAGGTTTTATTTGTTGACTCAGTCTACCTTTTGCTTCATATAATCTCATTTGCAGGATGTCTCAGCCAGCTTGTCGTTCCGCGGCCAACGCATTTTCCTTCATAATACTAGTGGTTGGTTTGGAAAGGTTCCCTTGGAGGCTTCTGGAGATTTCGGTATTCATCCTGATGAGGGGGAGTTTCATCTGATGTGTCAGGTAGCATATGTTATGTAAACCCCTGATCTAGATAACAGTCAAAGACTAAACGAAATTATTTTATGTGGGTCAATATTCTAGCTACATAGGATCTTTCCAGAATATAATGTCTGATTTGTTTTCTTTCCCATCAAAGTGTTGATTGTTCATGTTTTGTTTCAGGTTCCTTATGTGGAAATTAATGCTTTGATGAAAACGTTCAAGATGAAACCCTTGTCTTTCCCGGTACCATTCATTCTTCCTTCTGTTATACTTTTCTCTACCCTTTCTATATCGTCTTTTCTTTCTTTTTTTTTTTGCTTCGTGACTCATTTATCTTGTGCCAATTCCTTCTACCATCTTGGACTGCAGCTGGCTGGTTCTGTAACAGCTGTATTCAACTGTCAAGGCCCGCTTGATGCTCCCGTTTTTGTGGGCAGTTGTATGGTCTCTAGGAAGATAGCTTATCTGTCTCCAGATCTCCCTGCATCTGTGGCATATGAGTCAATGCTGAAAAACAAGGAAGCTGGTGCAGTTGCAGCATTTGACCGTGTTCCATTTTCATATCTCTCTGCTAATTTCACATTTAATACTGACAACTGTGTAAGTATTTTATGTTTCCACCTCTGTGAAGTAGTCTATGCCTAAATTTTTTGAATATTCTCAGATTAGCCTATTTCATTTGATAGGTTGCTGATTTATATGGTATTAGAGCTACCCTTGTTGATGGTGGTGAGATTCGTGGAGCTGGGAATGCTTGGATCTGTCCAGAGGTATGCTGTATTTCCTCCCATATCTTTATTTTGTCACCTCTAATCAAGCACTTTGTATTTCTGTTTTTTTTTATGCTGAAATGGTATATATGTCTACAGGGGGAGGTAGATGATACAGCACTGGATGTGAACTTTTCAGGAAATATATCATTTGATAAGGTTTTGCATCGTTATATGCCTGAATATCTTAATCCCGGGATGCTAAAGTTAGGTGATTTAACTGGGGAGACAAAACTTTCTGGGGCCATCTTGAAACCGTAAGATTCCCTTGCCTTTCTATTGGCTATAATTAGTGTTCACTCATGTCTGTGCTTGTCTTAACTGCTCCATCTAAATTTTGGGTGCAGGAGATTTGACATCAAATGGGCCGCACCCAAAGCTGATGGCTCCTTAACTGATGCTCGGGGAGATATTGTGATATCACATGATAATATCATCGTTAATTCATCATCTGTTGCTTTTGATCTATACACAAAATTAGATACCTCATACCTAGACCAGTGCTTGTCTCACCAAGACTTCACTCAAGGGGCGGCCATGCCATTTGTTGTTGAGGGCCTGGATTTGGATCTACGTATGCGAAATTTTGAGTTTTTCAGTTTGGTCCCTTCCTATCCATTTGATTCGCCAAGACCTACGCATTTAAAAGCAACAGGAAGGATCAAATTCATGGGGAAGATAAAACGACACAGTACCCCAGATGATGGAGAGGTTGAGTCAGAAAATGGTGAAGATGCAGATGCAATTTCAAGCCTTGTTGGTGAAATTTCGTTTTCAAGTCTCAAGCTGAATCAGTTGATTTTGGCCCCTCAACTGGCTGGACGTTTGAGCGTTTCCCGTGATCATGTCAAGGTAATCACCTGATTTCATGCTTCTGGTGTATCATCAGTATCAGTAACACTAGTAGCAACAGACCTTTTGTTCGGCAATAAAAGAATTGTGATTAATACGAAAACTTTAATTGTTGAAGTTTTTTTGCTTTAATTTTTTGTCTATTTATTAAAGTTATTAAGGCTGTCTTGTCAAATTGTGTCAGTAATTTGAACAGTGTTCTAAACAGATTTTCAGTAAGCTGGTTTAACCCATGGTGTTTATACTAATATTTTTAGTATTGGTGCATATCTAGCTCGATGCTGTGGGCCGGCCAGATGAAAGTCTTACACTAGACTTTGTAGGTCCACTACAGCTTAATTCTGAAGAAAATGTACAAAGTGGAAAGTTGCTCTCCTTTTCTCTGCAAAAGGGACAACTAAGAGCTAACGCTTGTTATCAACCGCAACAGTCCGCTACTTTGGAGGTATTGCATTTTCTTATGTGAATTATATGTTTTGTTTGATTATTTATTGCAAAATCGAGAATCAACAGCAAAATCGAGAACCAACAGCAGATGGTTTACATATTGTTCACATAACTGGTTGCAGATACGTAATTTTCCACTTGATGAGATGGAGTTGGCCTCGCTGAGAGGGGTGATTCAAAGGGTAAGTACATTTGTACCTATAACTCATTATGTGCTAGTACTGGGTGAAGGTTCAGAAAGTCTTTTCGGGATATTTTGTTGTCAACAAAGACTAGGCTCACTTGATAGAGTGTTCATACGATTGCATGCATGGGTCATTTACGAAAGAAAATTCAATGGATGCATGGGTCATTTACGAGCATCTATATTTAATTAGAGATCATGAATCAAAACCTTAAATACAGCCAGCTGGATTTATGATCTTTGATAAGCACTCAGAAATGCAAAAGAAAAAGGGCTCAATAAATAAAATGTATGAGTAACTCTCTTTTCACTTCTGATAACATGTTTTAGAGGATTGATGCTTGAAAGATTAAGAAACGGTAGTAAGATGAAAAAAAGTAATCGTGCTTCTGATTACATGTGCAGAAACATCATGTTTGTTGATGTTTTACACTTCATACTGTTGTTCGAAATCCCTTGTAGTGATGTGCTATGAACTTGGTGTTAACTTAGAAACCCAGCTTTTCAGAAACTATCAATAATTTATTACTTTCCATTCTGCTTGCAGGCAGAGATTCAACTAAATCTTCAGAAGCGGAGGGGACATGGTCTTTTGTCTGTAATTCGTCCAAAATTTAGCGGAGTTCTAGGTGAAGCTTTAGACGTTGCAGTAAGATGGAGCGGTGATGTGGTATGTATGACAACCCTACAGATCCCTGTTCTTTTGTTAGTTCTTAAGAAATCTAGAGAATAATCACCACTGATTTCTAGTTTAAAATCTCACAGTACATCATTTTGCCTATCAAGCCTTTTCATCTTGATGATATGCCTTGTTTTAAAGGTTGTAGTGAGATTAAGCCGTACCTAATTGATAAGTTCTGTTAGCTGTGAAGGATATATGAGAATGTGCATTATGATATTTCTTCTTATCCTTCTCATCTTTGTTCTTGAAGATCACTGTCGAGAAAACTATACTAGAACAAAGCAATAGCCGTTATGAGCTTCAAGGTGAATATGTATTACCAGGCTCCCGTGACCGAGACCTTGGTCAGAAGGAAGCTGGCAGTTTCTTAATGAGAGCCATGACTGGACATCTAGGAAGTGTTATATCTTCTGTGGGAAGATGGAGAATGAGACTTGAAGTGCCCAAGGCAGAGGTTGCTGAGATGCTTCCTCTTGCAAGGCTTGTTTCAAGAAGTACAGATCCAGCTGTTCACTCAAGATCTAAGGTTTGCCAACGTCTTTGCTAAATCACATGCTTCTAAAATGCTGGAGAAAAACTCCACCTGTATGAGCATGTTCATGTTCGTGTACTCCACATATTGATGCCTCTGATTATGCGGGTTTCTTGGTTGGTGTGGCAGGATCTTTTTATTCAAAGTGTGCAAAATCTCTGTCTACAAGCTGACAATCTTCGAGACTTGCTTGAGGTAATGTACCAAATATGGTGTATTTCTTCCATTTGAAAGTAACTAAGGGCTTCTGACATAGATAACAAATTTTATACTATGGCAATAAAACTGTGTAGATTTTTTTCTACTTTTCTAAAATTCACGATTCCTTGTATTCAGGAGATACGTGGTTATTATACTCCCGCAAGTGAAGTCATTCTTGAAGATCTAAGTCTTCCAGGTTTAGCTGAACTCAAAGGTCATTGGCATGGTTCGTTAGATGCTAGTGGTGGAGGCAATGGAGACACCTTGGTACAAAAATAACCCTCTCTTGTTTCTATAATGGAAGGGTAAAGATTATAATCATTTAAAGGAGACTCCAAAATAGGTTTTCATAAGCCTTTAGTCAAATGAAGAGATGCAATTGTCTTTCGAAAGAAAAATAACTTTGTATGATATTAAAGTGAGAGTTTTTAATGATTCTCTTGTTTAACCATTTCCTCTTTGATATTAGGCCGAATTTGACTTCCATGGAGATGATTGGGAGTGGGGAACTTACAAAACACAGCGTGTTCTGGCAACAGGCTCATATAGCAATGATGATGGTTTACGCCTTAAGGAGATGCTTATTCAAAAAGGAAACGCTACACTGCATGCAGATGGGACCTTATTGGGGCCAAAAACGAATCTTCATTTTGCTGTTCTGAATTTCCCTGTTAGTTTGATACCTACCTTGGTTGAGGTTGTTGAATCGTCAGCTAGTGATCTTGTGCACTCTTTGAGGCAACTCTTATCACCAATCAAAGGCATTTTGCACATGGAAGGGGATCTTAGAGGGAGTCTTGAAAAACCAGAGTGTGATGTACAAGTTAGATTATTGGATGGCGCAGTTGGTGGTATAGACCTTGGACGAGCTGAAGTGTTTGCTTCCCTGACATCCAACAGCCGTTTTCTCTTCAACTCCAACTTTGAACCAGTTGTCCAAAATGGTCATGTGCATATACAAGGAAGTGTTCCTGTTAGCTTTTCACAGAAAGACAACTCTGAGGGAGAAGACAGGGAAACTGATAAAGGTGGTGCAGTGAAAGTCCCTAGCTGGGCAAAAGAAAAGGAAGATGACGAGAAGAGAACCTCAAGGGATAGGAGCGAAGAGGGATGGGACAGCCAACTTGCAGAGAGTCTCAAGGGTTTAAATTGGAATATCTTAGATGCAGGAGAAGTTAGATTGGAGGCAGACATCAAGGATGGTGGTATGACATTGTTGACAGCCATATCCCCTTATGCAAATTGGCTTCAAGGCAATGCTGATATCAGGCTTCAGGTTTGTTGAAAAAAACAGTAGCGTGTGCTTTTGTTATCTTTACATCAGTAGATAGTTAGATTAATATTCCATGTCCTTAGCATTATACAAGGTCGGACAAAATTCATGTACGTATACCCTACCTGTGAGCAGGTCGGTGGTACAGTGGGGAATCCAATTCTTGATGGGTCTGCATCATTCCACAGGGCATCTATATCTTCACCTGTGCTCCGTAAACCTCTCACAAACTTTGGTGGGACCTTACATGTTAAATCAAACAGGTTGTGCATAACCTCATTGGAAAGCAGGGTAAGTCGAAGGGGAAAGCTGGTTGTTAAAGGAAATCTTCCCCTTAGGTCAAATGAAGCATCTAGTGGTGATAGAATAGAGCTCAAATGTGAAGTTCTTGAAGTACGAGCAAAGAATTTCTTAAGGTACTCAGTCATTTCGAGCTAGTAGCACATAATCTTTACTCTTCTGTTTGATGGCATGCGGAGATACTGTCTCGTTAGTTTTCTGCTATCTTCTCTTCCAAACTCTTGTTACTAAGCTTCTAACTTATTCCTAATGAATGTAACCGTGTTGTTGCCAAATCAGTGGTCAGGTTGATACTCAGCTACAAATTAGTGGATCAATGTTGCAGCCAACTATATCAGGAAATATTAAATTAAGCCATGGGGAAGCTTATCTACCTCATGATAAGGGTGGTGGAGCTGCCCCGCTCAATAGATTGGCAGCCAATCAATCAAGGATTCCAGGTGCTTCTATTAACCAAGCAGTTGCTTCTCGATATTTTGCTCGATTCTTTGGTACAGAACCGGCTTCGTCAAGGATGAAATTCTCCCAGACAGCTGGTAAACTTATGTCTCCACTAGCAAACATTCTATGGGGAATTTGTAGTTAAAATTATGAAAACCATCTCTGATATCTTGCCGGGAACAGGTGAATCAAATGCTGTTGAAAAGGAGATTGAAGAAGTGAGAATGAAACCAAATATGGATATCCGTCTGAGTGATCTGAAACTTGTTTTAGGACCAGAGTTGAGGATAGTGTATCCTTTAATCCTTAATTTTGCCATTAGTGGTGAGCTTGAGCTTGATGGCATGGCTCATCCCAAATATCTAAAACCAAAGGGTATCCTCACATTCGAGAACGGAGATGTCAATCTTGTGGCTACTCAGGTTTCGTTTTAATCTCTGTTTTGATTTTCATTTCCATCTTTTCTTACATAGGTTGACACAAGCTCTATCTATTCTGTTTTCTAAACACAGGTACGCCTGAAAAGAGAGCACCTCAATGTTGCAAAGTTTGAGCCTGAACATGGACTAGATCCTCTGTTAGATTTAGCTTTAGTTGGTTCAGAATGGCAATTCAGAATCCAAAGTCGTGCCAGCAATTGGCAGGACAAACTTGTGGTGACTTCAACTCGTTCTGTGGAACAGGATGCTCTCTCACCGTCCGAGGTAAATCTGAAGTCGTAGCTGGAAATTTGAAAACGTAACTGGAAATCTTTTCTTGATTGAATCCTCTGTTTTCACAGGCTGCAAAAGTGTTTGAGAGTCAATTGGCAGAATCCATATTAGAAGGAGATGGGCAACTTGCTTTCAAGAAACTTGCAACCGCAACACTTGATGCCTTAATGCCAAGGATAGAAGGGAAAGGAGAATTTGGTCAGGCGAGATGGAGGTTGGTGTATGCCCCACAGATCCCAAGTTTACTCTCTGTTGATCCAACTGTCGATCCTCTCAAGTCTCTGGCGAGCAACATCTCCTTTGGAACGGAAGTCGAAGTGCAGCTCGGAAAACGTCTTCAGGTCAGACTTACAAACAATATAACAAAATTTGTTTCTTTCCATATGACAAGCAAAACCTTTGCTAAAATAAACACTGCCTGGTTCCTGTTGTTTTTCATCTACAGGCCTCTGTGGTAAGACAGATGAAAGATTCTGAGATGGCGATGCAATGGACATTGATTTATAAACTCACGAGCCGCTTGCGTGTCCTCCTTCAATCTGCGCCTTCAAAACGGTTGCTTTTTGAATACTCTGCAACGTCACAAGACTAAAATGCTTGTCCCTTCCTCTTTATATGGATGAAGCCGTTTGTTGCAAAGGATAGGACTGCTAGGTTGTAGTGACTTTGGTTATTAGCATTTGTTATTGACAAGAAAATTATTTTATTATTTGGTCAGGTTGTTTCATTGTTTGCTTCTTCTGGTCTGTAAAAATTACGTTGTAAATGTTAAGTTTTAGGGCATACAAAATTATGAAAAATCCCAGTTCATAACTGAGACAATGGTTACATTTTTTTTTCCTGTAACACGAGACAATGTCTACAAAACAGACGAAATCTTAAATAAGAAAGGGAGAAATCAAGTCCTCGAAAGTGATTAAAGATAGAACCACCTTTTAAGGTACAAGAATCATGGAAGATAACGTTAATGGCGTTGTACAAATGAGATAACTGAGATGAATAATAATTTTATAACTAGATTTTGAACCCGCACATCCGTGCGGGTAATTTTTTCATTTTATAAAAATATAAAAAATATTTTAAATATATGATTTACATTTTATTGTTATATATTATATAACTATATAATCTTATTATTTTAATTATTTTATATAATATATTGTTGTAAATATTTTTTAAAAAATCATATATATTTTTTTAGATAATGTATTTGTTGTGAGTTACAAAAATATATGTTAACATTTTTGTATAAAAATAGTACATGATTCAAAAAAATAATATGCTTTAACAGTGAATAAAAGAAACTTTTAAAATAAAATATTTTTATTTACCAATTTAATATATTTTTATATTCATTCCACATAGCATTTTTATTTTAGTATAAGATAGAATATCATTAAATTATAAAATATACCAATTTTTATCTTTAATTAACATTAATATATATATATATATATATATATATATATATATATGTATATATTAATCACGAAATTAAATAATATATATTTTATAAAAATAATTAAACTTCTTAGTAAGATCCTGTTAGATATTTTCTCAACAGAGTTTATTATAAATGAAATTAAAATAGAAATTTATAGTCAAATTTGATTTATTTGATTGATTAATATAAATAATCAAATATGTCATACTAATGAAATGGTCCAAAATGACTTTTGTGTAGTAGATTTAAATGGTACTTCTCTTTTAATATAGAAGATTTCTTTTTCATAAGATGCCAAAGCAATACAAATAGCATGATATCAAGTCAATGGTTTAACACGTGACTGAGTAGAGTAACTAACAAAAGAAAAATAGAAATGCAGATTGCTCAACCGGCTATAACAAGTACACTAGGTATTTAGGAAATGCATTAAGATAGGAACGTAGATGTGGATGTCCTATAACAATACTCCCTTCTTAAGAGGAACATTGACCTCAGGATCTAAATGATTGTATTTGGCAGCAAAATTCTGATAAAACTCCCATGTAGCTTGTCTGGATATAACTCTTCTCCGGAATAGTTGACAGAAAAAAAAAACTCTTCACCGGAATAAAGACTTTAGCGGTAGCAACATTGCGATGTTTAACAATCTTCAACTCTAAGATGGATTTGGGTTCCTTGGCAGTTACCAAGATCGAGAAATACTGAGGTAAGACAGTAGCAGAGGATTGTTGGAGATGGATTACATCTTTTGACAAGATCAATCAAATAAACAGAACTTAAAAGGAAAAGAAACATAGAGAGATTTTGGAACTAAAAACTTCCACTATTAAAACACTTTGAGATTCAGAACATGGGACCTTGTTTGGTCGGCAATCTTCTGAAGAAGTTGCAGATACCACTAGGCAAATCGTTGCGGAAACACGGGAAGTTAACCCAACGGACAACAAAGCAGATAAACACAAACTTCTGAAAAAAAATCACGTGATCCCAAAACACGTACACAAAGACCACCATCACATAACAACCAAGCGAGAAGCAAATCCAAGCAAGTGGACTATCAAGCAACGACAAGACCGCAAGAACACGTTCGCACTGCGAAGCAACGTCGCCTAATAGTACCATCACATTCTCCCCCGTCGCCCTCAACCTATCGTACCTCATCCTAAGAACGTCCACATCGATCACCGACGACGGAAACGTGTCCAACTCCTCAGCCAACTCGTCTAGGTCTGGCGAGTCGAGTCCCCAAAGCTTCAAATCTACAGGAACCAAAGGAGGAGGAGGATTCGTCTCGACCCCAAGCACCAACCTGTTGAACTCTCCCTTGAAGAATCTAAACATTTCCCGTAGAGCTAAACCCGCTAGGTAAACCGGAAACACAGGCCAAACCGCGAGACACAAGAGCCAATACCAACCAAACACAACCACTACGCTTGCAACACATGTAATGATTTTCGGACGAAAATCCGTCGTTGATCTGACCGTTTCCTTCATCCAAACACACCAACCGAACATCTTAGCGACTCTACGAAGCCTCTCCAAGTTAGCTCTGGTTATCCTCATGCTGAAACTCTTATTCGTCGGCCTCAACATATCCAAAACGACCTCGTTTCTCAACGGCGGCTTGGTCCTCGCCAGGTTCAGACAGTTCAAACGAATCGCTTGTGTTCGCAGATCCACTGTCGTCTGAATCACCGACAGTGGAGATTTGTAATGAGCTTTCGGTAGCATCCATCGGAAAGACGACGTAGCTAGTACATACGGTTTCGCTACACAAAGGCAACGAATGGCGAGCTGAAGCTCGCCCATTTTCTTTAATCCGTTTTCCCTTAGAACAAGAATGGGACAGGAATAAGTGTAGATCCTGTCCCACTCGAATAATCTCAGTGGAATCCTTACTTTCCCAATCAAATTATCATTCATAGTATTACCCGAAACGAGCTGATGATTGTCGAATATTCCGAATGTAACGGTTGTACATTTATCGTAAACATCCCACGAGTACTGTTCGTTCCACTTCGGTGAAAAGCTACCGACCACAGTTCGAGTCCTCGCCCATTTGTTCCCGTACTTAGCCACAACATAAGCATCAGTGCTCCTCCTCCCATCTCTCCACTCTTTCATCGGTTGTAAACCGGTAGCCCCCAAAATCCCAATCTCTAGCTTCCCGAGCAAGTCAGGCCATAGCCCTTTAGCGAAAGCTCGATAATCGCTAGAGTATTGAATGCATTCGTCGAATACATGATAAGCTTGATCAGTAGCTAGTTTCATCTTGATTCTACTAGAGAACCGCCTCGAATCGCCAGCCGGTTCGACGTTAACCGGCGGTTCAATGTCGTAGAACAAGGCTGGTGCTGATCCCGGAACTTTAACCGCATTCATCTCAGAGAGCTTCTTCTCTAATACCCCTATGCACTCGCTGTGTCGATCGTTGACTCTGTCGAATAGGGTTATGTAGACCGTTTCTTCTAACGGCTCTGATGCGACGAAAATGAGATCTTGATTCCAAGAAGGGTTCGAACCGAAAGAAACCTCGGTGTTTAGTTCGACATCACCGAGAGTTGCTCTCACGTAAACACAAGGTGTCCGCTTTGCATCGTTACAAATCAAATCGTGACCTGAAACAATCGTAACCCTAACGTAACAGAGCCTTGGCGCTAGGTAAAGTTTAGGTCGCGTGTTGATCACGCAACTATAGCTGACATCAGACGCGTCTGAAAACCATGCTTGCGGATAAACCTCGTCGGCTTGTGTGCCGAACCAAATCGACATCATCAGTTCCATGTGAGTTCCCATAGAGTACCACTGCGGCGCGATTCTTGCGTCGGGCGGAACCCTAAATGGAATATCAGCGGCTAGCTTAAAGTTTTGCTTGCCGAACACGTTACCACCGTTCTCCCATCGACCATCTTTTAGTGTAACCGATAAGACATCGCCTTTTGTTTTGTCGAAAGCGAATACTTGATTCCACTCCCCGTTTGGTCGGAGTGGTAGAGTTTTGGTGGATGATATGTAGTTTCCGAGAGTGATTTCCACGATGGGGTTTGCTATGGGGTTCACGATAGAGTTTTTGTTAATGGCTTTGATTACTTCTACGTAAAGGAAATCCATTTGTTCGAAGAGGTCATGTGAAGAAGTTGGGCCGTTAGGGTTTCGGATTCCTCTTTCTCCACCGAGCTTTCTAGAGATATTCTTGACTGAGAAGTCTTCTTTTCTGGCAGCCATTTCTGAATAGAAACTAGCGAAGAAGGAGAGAGATAACTGTAAATCTTGATTGTGTATTAAAGTTTTAAGGATTTATACATACTCATAGTCGATGGTTAAAGATCGCATATATTTTCATGAACTATATGTACAGTAAATCTTGCAAAGAGAGAACGTTTGAACACTATTTCCTTAGTTTTCTTATTAATATATTTAGTTTTGTTACTTTTAGTAACATATGTAATTTCCTCAATATTAATTTCCACTATACCTTTAGATACTCAAATTCCTGTGTTCGCTTTTCTATAACTTTCCATTTTATTTAAAGCACATTTTTAACTCTAGCATTGTACATATCGAGGCTCAATATCGGCTAGTGCAATTAAAAAACCTAGGGATAGTGAGTTTTGCTTCCTAAAAATTTAGAAGTTAATAGGAAGGTGTGAATTAACTACATAAACATATGGGAGAAAAAAAATTCACTATATGCAAAAAAATTAGGAGAAAACGTTAGAGAGGACAAGTACTTTTTCGGTTTTTCCTTTTCTTGGACATTCAAACAGTTTGGTAGAAATTATTTATAATTAATATTAGAAAAATAGAAAGTTGAAATGAGCTAAAAAAAAATACTATACCTTGACTGTTTTGCAGGTTGCTAGACTATGTTTTTGCATCTAACATTAGATCAAATTGATTTTGTGACTATCACTATTTTTATTCCCTTTGTTACATAACTGGGCTACTGACGCTATGAATAAAAATTAGGGGTAGGCACTTTATCCAATATCCGAACTCGTACCCGAACCCAACCCGAAATATCCGAACCGAAATCCGAACCGAAGTAGCAAAATACCCGAACGGGTATTGAGTTAGGAGAGTTTGGATATCCGAACCCGAACGGGTAATATCCGAACCCGAACAGGTATCCGAAGATAACCGAACATATTTATATATACCTATTTATTCCTAGTTTATTTTGTCTCATTTTATTAAAACTATTTATATTAATGTTATAAATAGTTTAATATCATATAATTGTAAAAAAAGTGATTTGTTACTTATTTAAAATACATATTAAGCTTCTTATTTCATACTTTAAACAAAATTTGCATCCAAAATTCGAAAATAACAACCAAAATAATGATTTTTATTTTCAATAATTTATTTTCAAACTTATTAATTGTCTAACTTATTGAACATTTTAAAAACAGTTAAGTTAATAGTAAAATTTTAAATACACAAAACTTAAATAATAAAGAATTTGAAATTTTTCTTCCAAAATCTAAATATCCGAACCCGACCCGAAATAACCGAACCCGAACTAAAAATATCCGAACCCGACCCGATATATAAAAATACCCGAACGGGTTCTAAACCTAATACCGAAATACCCGAAAACCCGAAATACCCGATCCGAACCCGAACTGGTACCCGAATGCCCACCCCTAATAAAAATAGTGAAAACGTTTAACACACAAGTGAAAAAACAATGAGTTTGCCTAACAGGCCCATTATGAACGCAAAATTCAAAGATCTGATTGAAACTAAAAGCACTCAGTTTTAGAGCATCTACAATACAAAAGAAACAAACAAACTCTTCAAAACTTGGACAAAAATGCCAATTAATATCCTCCGGCCTGATGAGTCCACCACTCACTACGTGGTCTAACCATTGAGCCACCATTTACGTTCGTTGGGTTTGGTTGAGGCTGCCATTCTGGTAGTATGCCATCATTATTAAAACCTTTATTCCACAAAGGCTCAGATTTTCCATATTTATGAATTAGTTCTCTTACAGAATCAGACCGGCTGGTCCGGTTCATAACAACATCTCCACGAGACAAATAGTTAAATTCAGGCAAGTCATCATCATCATCCCGAGCCACGGCCATTGGACCAAACCCCGGCGGCACATCACCACCATCATCATGGTTGACCTGTGGCATGCTACCGTAACGAGACGTATTAAGAAGTGTGGTTAATGGATGGTTCTTGTGAGAGTAAGATAGTAGTGGTGGTTTTTTTAATTGTGGTCTTCTCCATACAACAACACCTATAAGACCATCACCATCTAAAGATTTCAAGAAATCAAGTTGGTTTCTTGGAACAATCTTGCTTAAAATCTCGGTGGTTTTGCCACGGTTTGGGCAAAGGTAAAGCTCGACTCCTGAAACCGGTTCAGCGAAACCAACTCTCTCATCTCTTGCGTATGAATCCACCACCTGCATAATTGCAATACGCACATTTCACATAAATGTTACCACTGAAGATAATAATGATGATATATACTACAGAAACTTAGGTCTTAAAACCGGGTTTAGGTTCGAGTTCTCAGTCTACGAATAACATTATCCAAAAAGTAAAACCTATTCTACTATTGATTTGTTTATATGAATTTAGTTCAGTTTTTCCGGATAACACACTCCTACACAAAAAAATTAGTTAACTACCAAGGACATACCTCAGAAATGTTTTCATGTTCTGTCTTGGAGTACTCTTCTTTGCAGACGAAACACATAACCTGTAACATAAAACTAAGGTTTATATATGACACATGACAGCTACTAGTGGGAAAAGAGTTTATTAAGCAGAACAATATGTTTGATTAGTTTAGCCAAGTAGACAGTTTTCAAGCAATGAATGTGAAAAGTTGCAAGCAGTGAGTGAATTATACCATAAACAGTGTTATTAATGATACGAGGTAAACGGTGAAAAATAATACCATTACAGCACGACTCCTGGAATTTGGGAGCTCTCGAACAAACTTCTCAAATGCATCTAATCTGACTCTACCCTTGATCTCAAGCAACATAGGCCACTCTTTTGTACTAGTCTTTTCACCACTGTCCAGGGAACATATATATGGTATCAGTAAGTGTATCTCTATGAAATAGTATAAATCAAAAGGGAGAGAGCATATTAAGAGCCTTCAATCAATCAGCTTAAAGAAAACGTTTCAAATATGCAAAGACAAATTCTGAAATGTAGATACTGTGCTTCCACTGATGGAAACCATTGGTTACAAACCTTTTCAGAATGCCGATGACAGAGATCACAGAAGAAACACTCAACTGGAATGCACCTTCCCATAGACGTTCACCCGTAGGTATGGAAACAGATTTCAAATCAGAATGAGGCACTGAGGATACTAAGTCATCACCCTCGGCCTTAACTGGTGATGTACCAAGAAGATCCGTATTAGCTTTTTCTTTTGGTGATGTAACCGCCTCTGCATCATTATTATCTGAAACTAAAGGTCCTTTCCCAATATCTGAAGACAAAGATTCTGAATCTATGAACTCATCAAGAGAAACAATTGGAGGAAGAGATCCAGTCACATCATCTACTGTGACACCGTTAGTTAGAGCAGATCCCTCACTAGAGTTCTTGACTCCAAGTGTTTTCTTCTTGACATTCTTTGGTCGAGACCAGTTAAGCGAACTCGACCCAACAGAGATCTCCACAGAGCCACTATCCATTGGTTCAACTTCCACTTGGAACTCACCCTTGTGTGTTTTCCTTACCAAGCTTCTGATGTCCACCTCTGTGTCCTGCAGAACAACCATTTGAGCCATCTCTTCTGCTTTGGCTTGTCGCCACTCCGCTAGTTCCTTTGAAGCAAGTTCCTCAGCTGACATTGAACACAGTCGCCCTGCTTCAATCTCTCCATACATAACCTTTTCCCTGAGCTTAGGATTACTCTTGTCTTTCAAATTGAACAAGAGTGACCTTCCTTTCTCTTTATACTTCTTATTCACACCGCCAAATAACTTAAACAGCTCTGCCTCTATTTTAAACGCCAAAACTTTTGGATCCAGCAACATCTTTTCCTGACTCCAACCATTAGCCCTTTCTCCAATTATCTCATTTTGACAATCTTCTGTAAACTCTATATCTGACTCTACATCCCAAGAGAGGTCATTCCCTTGCAGAAGATAATCTTTTGTAAACACATTGTCAGTATATGAAACATTGGCTTGCGGAAAGGGTTCTTCTGCAGTTAACTCTTCGTTACCACTTGTCTTGGCCATGGTTAAAGTCTCCGGTAACACTGCAGGGTTCCCATTAGACACCATCCCATCAACTCCAGAAGCAGCTGACTCTGGCTCACTAACAAGACCTTTGACAGAGTTAGTTACAGTCTCACTATGTAACCTTGTAGCTTCCTTTTGGCACTGTACCATTGCGAGTGCACCTGCTAACGATTCTCTCATTTTGGACCTCACAATAGTAGAAGACTCGTTCTGTGGTTTCAGCGGCAGTGAAACTTGTTTCCTCGCTGTAGTAGTTTGCTTCACAGGTTTATTACAAGAAAAAGAAGCAGGCAAATACTGTGTTTTAGGTGAAACAGAAGCTGACTGAACCGGCTTGGGACCTTTATTTAGCTCAGAGGCCCATGCTCGGTTCTGTACCATCCGTTTATTTTGCACAGCCAACGGTTGAGGCTGCAACGGTGTTTTCCGCTTACCATGTAACTGAGTTGTATCCATGGATCCTACACTACGCACAAAAGATGACTGAATCATTACATTACAATCCTGCCTCCCTGGCAGTGAAGGAGCTTCTTGATAGTTGTTACAGTTTGGTTCCGGAGTAGAGACATCAACTTGCATACTTACAGGTAAAGGCTGAGGCAAGGCGCAAGTAATGTTAAGGCTGCAAAATAAAAAATGAGAGGCGGATTCAGAACAATATTAGCATTGGTTATGATATGAATCCAAGCTTCTAATTCTAATGATTCCTCGGAGCGATTAGAAAGAGACAATGTTAAACTATTCAATGTCGGAGGTGTATGTATGGTTTACCTGGTCGGCGATACAGGAGCTTATAGGCGGCGGTTAGAAGAGAGATCTGTCATGACTGTACTATCCAAAGGACGAGTGGCGGTGTTATAGTGAAAAGAAAAACCCTAAGACAAACTTACATGTGCTTTGTTGTCTAATCGACATATAATATAGTTTTTGTCTACTTAATCTGCCACCTAATGAATAGACAATCCAAAAAAATTAAACTTTTATTAATTATCCTACTAAGTCCAACACTATTAACAAAATGCTAATAACCCATTAGTAGTTTAAATTTAGAGTGATTTAGTGAATTACCCATATTTGAAGCTCAAATTAGCAAAATACCATTGATTGGACATGAAGGACACTGACACAACCATTTGGTAAGGAAATGCCGAGAATGCCCTTTCTCTTTCATCTCATTAACACGAAGCGTAAAAACATTTGTTAACATATAACACTTCTGTTAACGTCTACAATATTTATTAACAACCAACACATTTATTACCGCGAAGCATAAAATAATTGTTAACAGTTAACACTTTTGTTAACGTCTACAATATTTGTTAACAGCGAACACATTTATTAACGCGAAGCGTAAAAATAATTGTTAACAACTAACACTTCTGTTAACGTCTATAATATTTGTTAACCGCTAACACGACGTCGAATCTAAAACCCAGAAAATTGATATCATCAAAAAATTAAGGATTCAAAGCCACTTATGAAAAAAATAATGAAATTTAAAATTTAATTGTATATAGAATGATAGAGATTTGTAAAATAATTAGGGATTAGAGAGAAAAAAAAAGGTTAAAAAATTGAGGATTCAAAGCCACTTATGAAAAATAATGAAATTTAATATTTAATTGTATATAGAATGATAGAGATTTGTAAAAATAATTAGGGATTGAAGAGAAAAAAAAGGGGAGAAATGTTAAAGAGAGGAGAGAGAGTATAGAGAATGGCAAAATCGTCACACGAAAAACAACAGTCAAATCAAGGTTAATTCACTAATTATAGGTGGCATATAGGGTACTTTAGCCAATTAACTCTTAAATTTAATCAAATGTTTGACATCAATTTGTATTTTGTGGACGGTTGAAGAGTTTAAAATAGGGACCCTTTAAAATATTAGAAATTGCATCTCTCTTTTTGTTTTAGTTATTTCACAAATAACCCCTTAAAATATCTGAAATGTTTTTATCCAATTTTTGTTGATGGATTTTTATTAAAAAGAAAAGAATTATAATACTCATTGAAAATATATAGAGTTAACAGATAAAACTTTTTTTATCAAAGGTGTCTAGTAAATTTCTATACATGTTATTTAATATTGAGAAATTTTCTAGGATATACATTAAAAAAAATTTATCACAAATATAAAACATAAAAATAAAAATGACTAAATTATATTTAAATGTTTTATTAAAAATATATTTATATTTTTTGGGTTAACTAATTCTAGATTTTTCTTGTTTAGATTTGAGAAGTTATATTTAGAGGATACAATTTCAAAAAAAAAAGTATTAAAACAAAATTTAAAATTGTTAAAATAAAAAATATTATTTTGGTTATTTTAGCTTCTGAAGTTGTTTATTGTGATAAAAACTAAAAAATGTTTATACAAAATCATTACCCTTTAACATTTTACAAAAACAAAAAATTATATATGAGAGGAAGAGCATTCGGCAAACTCCTAAAGAGAAAACCGAAAAACAGAGGAACACAATGGCAGGGAGAATAAGCTGCTGTCTGAATCTTCCTCTCCTAGATTCCAACTCTGCGCAATCATCTCCTCAACGACTCAAGACAACGTCGAAGATCTCTTGGTATCTCTCTACTTCAAACAAAACTAAATTTAAAAGCTCATTTTCATTCTTGGATTAACCAATTAATATTCATCACGAGTTTAGGAGGAGAACAGAGGCTGAAACCGAGCCAAGAAAGAACAAGTGCCCCCTTCCCATGGCCGTGGCAGCGACTGTTGTGATCGGCGCTATTCAGATCAGTAACGTGCCGTTAGTGGAAGCGGCAGTTATAAAACCGACGGTGATCAAAGAGATGGCGCCGCGGAGGTGGAGTGACAAGAGAGCTTGTCCGCCTTGGCTTCAGAACTCACTCGAGACCATAGTACCGGAGAATCTTCCTCGTCCGTCGAGTCATCGGCGTTTGGAGTTAGCCGGACTTGGTAAGCGTGACGCACCGCCGGTCGGTGCGGTGGTGACACGTGCCAGTAAGGTTGCTTGTTACTCCATGTAAATTGGAAGTTTATTACGTGTACGCGAAGGTGATAGACACGTGTAAAAATTAGTTAGATACAAACTGTAATACACACGTAAACTTTTGTCAATAAATAAAAGTCGTACTTACATATTCTTGACCAAAAGTTTACTCTTTGGATTTATAAAATTTAATTTATATAAACGATTTAGCATTAATTTATAAATAAACAAAAAGAAATTTAATCAAGTGGATATAGATGTTCATATAGTTTATATCTATTTGCTGGACTAGTTTTCGTCGGGCCCTTTTAATTTTGTCTCTTTTTGAACTGTCAATTTCTGTATAATTTTTTATTTCCTACCATATGTTTGGAAGTGTTCAGTGTTGTGTGTTGGAGTAGTACTCTGTTGGATGTGTGATTAGGGAAAGCAGTACATGCATGTAGTACAGAAGAAAAACTATATAAGTACTTCTTACTCTTATGAGTTGGACCATTATCGGTCCACAAATAAAGCCCAACTCTATGTCACTCCAAATTTTATTTTGATTTCTCAATCTTTGTGTAGTACAATTGATTCTGATTTTGCCCAAGGAGGACGGACGCAAGACGGCCCAAGTCAGCCTTCTGTTGTTTGCAGTGAGATGCTATTTCCACAACATTTGCTTTGTTTAACAACACAGCTTTTTCTTAGAAAAAAACATCTGTTACTATTTTGCGTATAATATATTAACATAAGCTTACAGGGTTGTGTTCCAATATTTACGTATATGATCTGACCGAAGAAATATGAAAAGGAAATGAAGCTCAAGGCAATTGAATCAGTAAGCCATCCCTCCTGAAAACACATCACCATCATGAAGCAAGCTCTCTGTCAACCAATAACCATCCCATGACCCACCTATCCGCTGCCATTAACACACAATTGAAATTCATATACATAGTCAGATCACAAATTCACATAGTATTTTAACTATTCCAAACATTCAAAATTCACATAGTATGTAACCATTTCGAAACATTCAAATTCATATAGGAATCAACCTGGAACATTGTGAATTCAAATATCTCTTCTTCCTCAGGCCGAGTTCCTTGAATCCAAATCCTCTGCTTGTAACGGTTCTGTATATATCAAACTTAATCATGATTCATGTAAGATGTGCAAAGAAAGAAAAGTGATACCTCTTCAACGAGTAAACTGCTTAAGATCTTTCTATCCTTGTGACCAAGCAACACACGGTAAGAGGAATGGTGAAAAATTCGACGAAACCTTTCAAACTGCAATCAATCAATACGAGCTAGAGGATAGTAGCTCGAGAACAATATGAACATCAAAGTGTTCAAAGTAAGTAACCTGTCCTAGATCAAAGAAAGGTCCGAAATAGGTGGATCTCTCAAACGGGTCGAATCCAGCAAACTGTTTTTTAATTCCGACAAAAGATGATCATCAAAAGCTGTAATAAAAAAATAATAATTGAGAAAAGAATAAAGGATGGTTGTTGTTTTTTACCCGGTACATGACCTCGATGCCATAATCATAACGAGGATGGTCGTTATACTTCAAAGCATCAAGCTGATGTCGAACAGCATCTTCCGCACTAAACTATTTACATAACAATCTAACAACTCTTAATCAATACACACTGTAACTTACAGAGAGACTAATCAAGATTATACAAAGGTATCATGATTACATCAAGTCTGGGGCCAAAAGGACGTTTCCTACGACTCTCCAACCTGTTATAAAAACAGATGATTTAATCAACCCGATCTGCTAGAAACAAATGAAAATTTGAGAAGTTGTACCAATCCGCAGAGAGGAAATCGGGAACATCGGAAGAAGCTCGAACGAGGTAACGATCGAGCCGAGGTTTGACGAGGTTAGAAGGAGAAGATGGAAGAACGACAGACCAAAACGACATCGTTTCCTGTTGGTGTGTGTGTGTTCAAGCAGCACAAGTTGAGGTTTCTGTTCTGTCTGATAATCTTTGTTTTCCTGACAACGGCCGTTGGCTTTCACTTTTATTATCTACCGGCGACGAGATCCAGAAACAACTAACCGATTTGGGTTTGAATACCAGCCGCATGTTTATTTTGGGGCCAATGTCAAACAAAACCTTTTTTGGTCGGCCTTTTCTTTTAGGCAAATGTTTATAACGAGAAATAATTTTAAGAAGAAAATAGCTATGTACGGATTTGTGAAGAAACTGTCTCTACAAGAAAACATGCAAATCTTCTACTCTATTAAAATAGAGTTATTCTTTTTATCTACTGATACAAGTTGTCATTTAAATTTGGACCCTTTCTAAAATGTTACAAATAATATAAGTCATATAATTGATTGAACCGTATTACTTAAATTAGACCAACACAATTAACGTAAATAGACGACCTTAATGTAAACTACCTTCAAAATATGGTAGGTATCTATGTATATACCGAAAACACATATTTTCTCCTACAAATATAGAATGTTCTAAAAGAATATATATCATCAAAATATGAAATATGGAAATCTACTAATTATAATTCAATTAAACCAGTAGTTATATATGAAATATAGTCTTGGACTTAATTTTATTTTCTGAACAAATTATATAGTTTGGTTTTTGGGCTTAGTATTAAGAAAAAAACTCCAAAAACATTGAATAAACTTTTCACCTTGAAAGATCAAAAAATCAATTATTATCTTCAGACCCAAAAGTTATTTAATATTTTTAACAAAACAAAATTATCTATTATTAATCATTTATTTAAATCATGTACTTTAAAACATGTTAATATTTTTTTTTAAATAACAATCACTTTGTTTTGATAAATTTCAATGGTAAATTTTAAATAATTTATTGTTTTATTTTTCTTAAATAATTTACTGATTAAAAAAATGTAAAGCAAAACCAAAAACCAAATCTAAAAACTAAAATCCAAATCCAAAAGCTGAAAACACATGTTATATTTTTTGCTTTGTTTATTTACAAAATAAACTATTTCAATTTTTTTTTTTAAATTTGTTGTCATCTTTTCAGTTTTAAATTAGATGTTCGATTATTTGAGATTTGTTTATTGGTAATATTAGTTCAAACTAACTCAGCGGGTTTAAAATTAAAAACCCAAACCAAAAACTGAAAATGAAAAGTAGAAACTTAATAACTAAAAACCAAAAACAAAAAACAAAATCTAAAAAAAAAACTAAAACTAAAAACTAATGAAAAACAATCATCACCACAAATTTTGGTGAACTGATTTTATATCAAAATATTATTTAAATTAAGACAAAATCTAATTATATAAATTTTTAATCATAAAAAATTTCCGCGCTTTTCAAGCGCGGGTCAAAATCTAGTATATATTAAAACAGAAGTCATAACTTGACTTCATGTGTGATTTTTTTAAAAATGGACTATTACTAGAAAGTTATGTTACATTAATTCTCTAATAATCTTATCATTATTATATCTTATGAGAAATCATATCTATAATAACAAAGATATACTTAACAATTTGATTTTGGTAAATTACCTTACACCTTCCAAATTAGTCACGCAAAATATGTCAATAGATATAAGTTTAGGAATCTTCTATTATTTATACAGAACTATGTCAATAATAGTTAAATACATCCACAATATATTAACAAAAATCACAGATTAGTAATATGAAATATTTATATACCCTAACAAAATTTACACGCTATATATATTAGATAAATTTATTTCGATGTAAATTTTTAAAATTATACTTTAAAAAAAAAATTGTTTAAAAAGTTCCTTTTTAATAAAATTCTTTATAATATTAACTTATGAAGCTATAAGATTAGTTTTTAGCAAAAAAAGTTTATATTATCTTTGCAAATTAAAGTATACTAATATTTAATCAAAACTCTATTTATATTAATTTATCTAAAAATGAAATACTAATCTAAGAAACAATAAAATCTAGAAGAATAAACAAACACATGTTTGAAAAACATGTATAATATAGAAAATTTGAAAAAAATTATTTGATTAATTATTATATAATATTATTATGTTTGAAAAACATTTGCTATACATATCGTAAATATGTGATTACTATAATATATATCAATTTACAAGTGAAAACAAAATGTTTATATAACTAACTATAAACGAAAACAAACACCCGCGCGGTTGCGCGGGTCAAAATCTAGTCTATTATATTAAAAGAGAAGTCATAACTCATTTCATGTGTGATATTTTAGTTTGGACTATCTTTAGAGTTTTATAAAATTTTACAAAACATTATAATATCTTTTTATATCTTTAATTTTTGTTTGAAATCTATTATATTTTAAAAGAGAAGTCATGACTCACTTCATGTGTGATTTTTAAGTTTGGACAATTCTTAGAAATTTAATATAGCATAACATCATTATAATATCTTTTCATATCTTTAATTTTTATTTGAAATACAAATAAATAATTTTAAGAAAAGTCTAACAAAATCTTTAAAAAATCTTATAAAATCTTTTCAAGATATAGTTTCAAAAATAATTTGATTAAAAATTTAATTATCATAGAATATAATTTATTTAATTCATTTTTTTAACAAAAAATTAAAATTATGTAATATACTTTTAACAATATCCCAAAATTTTGTTTATGTATTATGTAGGTCCAATTTAATTTACTTTTTATATATTTAAAATTTAGAAATAAAACAAAATATATAAATTAGTAATGTTACATAATAATATTTTTTAAAATTGTTACAAAAATACAAATTTATAAATTTTAAATTAATAGTATTATTAGCTACATAAATATTATTATAAAATTGGATAGTATATACCATCAAATTATATTTTTTTATTGATAAATTTTACTCCTTGTCTATTATATTAAAAGAGAAGTCATGACTCATTTCATGTGTGATATTTTAGTTTGGACCATCTTTAGAGTTTTATAAAATTTTACAAAACATTATAATATCTTTTCATATCTTCAATTTTTGTTTGAAATACAAATAAATAGTTTTAAGAAAATTCTAACAAAATCTTTTAAAAATCTTTTAGAATCTTTGTCAAGATATAGTTTCAAAAATTATTTGATTAAAATTTTAGTTATCATAAAATATAATTATCATAAAATATAATTAAATTTTAATTTATTTTTAATTTATAAACAAAAAATGAAAATTATGTAAAGTACTTTTAACAATATCCCAAAATTTTGTTTATGTATTATGTAGGTCCAACTTAATTAATTTTTATATAGATTTCAGATTTAGAAATAAAAAAATATATAAATTAGTAATCTTACATAATAATGTTTTTTAAAATTATTACAAAAATATAAATTTATAAATTTTATATATTATAAGTCACATAAAAAATGATTATAAAATTGAATAGCATAAAGAATCAAATTATACTTATTTATTGATAAATTGTATAATATAATTTCAAATATTTACGTATTAAAATACCCGCACAGTTGTGCGGGTCGAAATCTAGTCATTTGCTATGGAAATACCAACAAACGTAATTCTATTGGAGGCAATCAATCAGAAAAGAAAAATGGTAATCAGTCGGTTATTTCCGACTGATTAATGGTCAATAATTTGCCGATATCTTTATAAAATATTTTCATTTATCTATCTATTATATATAGAAGAGCATCTCTCCTCCTAAAAGTGTCTACGTCGGATGCCAGTCTGGAAAGGCCACGTCAGCAAGTGGTTTGGGCCAAATTCGTCTGGACCTTTTTTTTTCACTATGGCCCTGCTCTCTTCACACAGAGAGAGGCGACGACGCTTTGTGTCCTCTTCTCCAGATTTCTGAAACCGTCGGAGTAATTGGATGAATTAACTCGGTGAGCATCAATGTTCTTCTGCAGATAAAAGCATGTAAGCCCATCCCTTTCGCATACTTTTCACCACGACCTTCCATAATGACCATTTCAAACGTTTTCTTCTCTGACTTGACCATCGGCAGGTGCTCACCCGGAGTTCAGACACGGCTGCTCCGGTTCCGTGAGGGACGATGTATGAGGCGTGGGGTGGAGATTACCTTCATTGATCTGCTACTAATTGATGGAAACGTAAGAACCCTAAATCTGCTACCTTTATGAGTTCTTATCTGTTTCTAGGTCTTTAACGAGATTCCTTTGGATGCTAAGTTTTATATTCAAAAAGAAAAAAAGTTCTCAATATTTGTCTCTGTTTCTATATATGGGATTCCTATCTCTGCTATTCTTTATGAGTTCTTAAGATCCGTTTTTAGCCTTGTATTTGTCGTCGGATGTATGTCATGTTGGGCTCTTTAATTGTTTTTACTTGATAAATCTCATTCCATTTTTTTCCCCTTAAAGTTGCTCAAATAATTTTAATTTTATTTTACCATTGTAGACTGTTTATGCGTTTTCAATATTCGTATCTGATTGTGATATATGCTTGCTATTACACAGGGAACCATTATGCCGGCGAAAATCAATCATGACCATCTTCCATCCTTCCGGCCTATGCTCACCGCTGGGATGATGTACTATATTTATGGGTTTGACGTGGCCCGTGTGCTCAGAAGTTCATGCTTACTGACTCCTTCCTGGTCATTCGTTTCAATGCGTCAACGTCTTTCTATGAGTTAACCACCCCGTCTCAAACAGTTCCTGAAGAAGCTTTCCGCTTTTGTAATGCAGCTGAGTTGGGTCTATTAGCTAACACAAACCGTCGTCTCTCGGGTAACTGTATTTGTTTAACCCCAACCGAAATTTCACATAACGCTATTAATATAGACTTCTTACAGATATTGTCGCTGAGATAACCGGCATGAGGAGTACCGTCAAAGAGCCGCTGAAAGGCAAAAACCACGTCATGGTGACAGTGAAGATGGATAAGTTACTCTTACTCCTAACGACTTCATTTATATGTAGCTAGATATGTTTACTCAGTGTAACTAATTACCTGTTAATTTCAGCGGAGATTCTGTTATATTAAGTCTTTTCGACTCTGGAGCAATCTCATTCCACAGAGTGGTTGAATCCATGATTCTTGGTCCAAGAGTGGTTGTTGCAACAAACGTATGCCCGAGAATTGTTGGAGGTAGTGATTTTCTAATGATATTACGTTTGTAAGTTTGCTTCATGTTTGAAATATATACTGATTGA